CTATAAAACCCCTTCATTACCTAGATAGATTTCCTCTTCTCTTTTCTTCTCCAGATTCGATATTCTCGTCGATGGTTGCAATAGTCTAGATAGGATCATTGATTCATTATTATCTACTAATCCGAGCCCGTGACACCAATATGATGACTCACAAACTGCCGTGCCCCGCCATGCCATTTACATCTAGCATCTGCACTGCCCCCGGCCTCCAGTCTTCAGCACCTGGATACGGGAACCTATCGAATACCAATCGGAGCCCAAGCATCCCCGAGCCCGGAAATTCATGCAGTCGATAAGCTATAATCGGAGCAGGAAACTTCCCCTTGTCCAAACACACATTATAATTCTGTTTTTCCTCGAAGACGCTATCCGCCAGCCCGTCATCAATCCTAACAGGCTGGTCAGTACGCTCGTGCAGCGGACCGTGCTGTCTTGAAATTTCCAAAGTAAACTGGGCTAGATGGTGGTCGTTTCCGTCTTTGTCAAGGTTGCCGTTGGGGTCAATATGCTGATGCAGATATTTCGGTGTTGAGATTTTCCACTCGAATTCATAGACGATGTATATAGCGACTTCGCCATCGCACCACAGCTAATGGGGTTAAATGTGTTCAGGTGAAAAGGAAACCCGGTATTAACTAACCTCACCAGTGCCATCGATTTTGAAGGAGATAAGGCATGCTCTGCTATCGTAGTACCATGGGGCGGTATTAGAATGGACGCGAGGGACTCGGTGTACTGAGCACCATGATGATTGAATTGTCGTTGTTGATAGGATGTCGGCAGACAACCAAATAGGAATAATGACACGTATGCCATTAGCTATGTCTTATTACCTAACATAAGCCATATACCAGCTCTGCATACTATCCCATATTTTCTCACCACCCCGCACCATCTGAGAACCGTTTCATCGACGTTCAAAGTACCAGAGATAGTAGAGTGTCGTGTTGCCGTCGAGTGTAGGCGCGCAATGCAAACTCTGAGCTACCGCCGGTGCCTCGCGACGGTGTGGCTTGTTGTAAGACTAAGCGCGACCATGTGGAGCAGTGTTTCCAAGAGCTGTCGTCTCATGGATCGAATTCCGACTGTAATGGCTCGATGCACTGGAGATGATGTGGATGGAACGGACAATTGTAGATTCTCTAGGGTTCCCCAATGGCCTTCATCGGGTTGAGGAGCTAAGCTCCCAGCCAAGGAGTCCCTTCTGTGCCTGCATTACGATAAAGTCAAAGATTTCCTTCTGGTCACACTAAGAGGCATCTGCGTTTGATGATAGGTCTGTGATAGGAGGCAGTGGTACGTTCTGGAGGTTGGTGGTTTTCTCGACGGTAGTGAGTGCTTCCAAAACAGCGGAGTCAGGGTTGCGAGCAACAGCATTTGCAAGAGTTTCATCAACATGTGTCGTTAAATCGTCTGGAATGATTTTATAGGACACTTCAAAAGAGGACATAATCTGACCAGATGAGATGCTGCTAGGCGTTGACAGAGCCAGGGCGGAGCAAGGAAATGGCTAAATTTCAGTCGTTTCTAATAAGTGTTCCTTCGGCGACAAAATCTTCGTCTTACAGATTATGCTCGGAGCATAAGGTCACCTGTCCCAGTTGCATACTATGTCTGCGAACGGCCAGCGTGTTGTGCTCGGGCCCTCGGGATACAAGACGCAATTGCCCTCATGGCGCATGGCATTTGGAACGAGTCGTAGTGCGATGAGTTGAAAACACTAGTCTAATCAGCGGTAGGCCCTCAAATTCTCCGGGTCTTCGCTTTCGCATCGGGGACTGACCGCAGAATGTACATAGGTAACAGGGGCTGGTCGCGTGTGTGCACGTGCCAATTTCAAATTCCCTTCCCTAGAATTGGTCCAATCCTCGACGCAAAAATAGAGAATCCTGTGTTTGTGACATCTGAGACGCTCGCAAGAATTCCCCTATTCGCTTGGGTATGATTGGCCCTGGATTTGGCGCGATGGTGGCTAACCTTCGGTGGGCCCAGTTTTGGGAATAACCGAGATTTCGGACATCCTCGTCGCCAGGTTCGCGTCTGCTCGAAGCATATGATACGAGGACCATCTCATCGTATACTCTGGGTACCCTGTCGTCATTGCATTCGTTACAGGAAGAAACATGAAAATCTAATGAAGGATTGCCGGATTCAGTCACCAGCGCGACAGGATCCTTTCGCCGAGGAACATCGGGTTTGACTTTGGAGATCTGGGGGACCGCCTGGTTTTTGAACGCACCTCCCCTGGGCGTCCCTCGCACATCCCACAATTTGGTCCGCCAATCGCTGGTCTTTCCCCAAATATGAAACCGAGGATGTTGGTCCGTCACTGCGGGGAGTCTTGATATGGATCTACAGGAGCAGGCGGGGAAGCCATACTTGTTTTCGTCACCACGAACGTATATCAGTCGCGAGCAGATGTTTTTAAAGTAGACGACACTGCCGGTCAGGGCGTGGGGTTAATCGATTGAGACTTTGCATTTTTTAATTTACTCAAACCACACAATCAACGCACAATGACATCGACTAACACACCGTCGGGATTCATCGGAAACCTTTCCACGGAGCAGGAGGCCAAATTGAGGCAGCTCTGGACGATACTCCTGAAGGCCTTAGAGGCCTCCGGCGTGGAAGGGCCACCGCAGCGCAAACAGTCCGTCTCCGGCACCGATAGCAATGTTTCCGGCCGCGACAGCACCGCTTCAACTCGCGCAGACTCATCACAATTCACCAAGAGCCTCCAAGAGACGGGGTTGAACGCCACACAAATCAGGGTCGTCCAGCAAGCCTTAGCCAATATGACCACTGACGAGCTCCACCAGGGATTCTTGACCAGCTTCAAGAATGAGAATCCGGATGTCCTGATGCTCCGATACCTCCGGGCCCGCAAGTGGGATGTGTGCAACGCTTTCGCAATGATGGTGGCTGCGGTCGAATGGCGGGTGAAGGAAATGCGGGTGGAGGAAGTGCTGCAGAATGGCGAGCTCCATGCGTTGAAGCAGGAACAGAACAGCGTGAACCCAGGCGAACAAAAGGATGGTAGCAGTTTCCTAGCGCAGAGCCGCATGGGCAAATGCTTCCTTCACGGCGTGGACAAGATCGGTCGGCCCATTGTTGTGATCAGAGTGCGCTTGCACAAGCCGGGAGAGCAGACTGAAGAAGTACTGAATCGGTACATTGTCAACGTTATCGAATCCGTCCGACTTTTGCTGCGGCAACCAGTGGAAACTGCTGTACGTACAGACATCTCTCTTTCCAAGATCTTCCGGCTGACTTGTTCTTGTAGACGGTTGTTTTCGACATGACAGGCTTTTCCCTCTCGAACATGGTAGGTCAATCCTCTCCCGAGATGAGGTGAGCAAGGTTGACTATTTGTACAGGAGTACCCGCCTGTGAAGTTCATTATCCGCTGTTTCGAAGCCAATTATCCCGAATGTCTCGGGGTTCTGCTGATTCACAACGCGCCATGGATTTTTTCCGGTTCGTCTTTTTCCTCCCACGAGTATAGAATGGCAGGTTCTAACCATTGGTGCAGGTATCTGGAGACTCATCAAGGGATGGATGGACCCCGTCATCGTTTCCAAGATTCAATTCACCAAGTCCGTCAGAGATCTGGAGAACTACATCCCACGAGAGAGAATCTTCAAGGAGCTGGGTGGTCCGGAAGACTGGGAATACAAGTACATTGAGCCGGAACAGAATGAGAACAAGAGAATGGATGACACTACCACACGGGAGGCTCTCGAGGAAGAGCGACGAGATATTGTCAAGGAGCTCTTAACCACGACGTCGTCATGGATCACGGCCACAGAAAACAAGGACAACGGGCAGGTCCAGACTACCAAGGCTCGACGGAATGAGCTGGCAGAGCAGCTGAGCGCCAATTACTGGAAACTGGATCCGTATGTGCGCGCTCGTAACTACCTGGACCGCGCCGGTGTCATTCCAGATGTTGGTTTTCAACCACAGCAGGTAGTGAAGATGGAAAAGGAGCTGGAAATAGAGCAACATGAGACAGCTCCGGCTCATGTTCTTAGTGCGTAGGTGTTTATTTTTAATGATTAAATGAAATTTTTGCACATCACAATCTTTCTCTACAGTCTCGATATATATTGTTGCCGAGCACCTACGACAACTGTTGTACGAAATAATTCCACATTATTAACATCTAGCAAATACATCCAGTCTTCACTCATTTCATTCCTTTTCTTTTTCTTCCGTTTATTCCCAGCAGATTTGTTGGACGCGGTATGGATTCTTCGTCGATTTCTCCTGACATAGAACGGAAATATTACAAGTTCTCCATTATCTCCCACCACGAGAACGACCTTATTGTGCCTCATTTCGATGATGCAATGCGACTTTTTATCATGTCTGAATTAATCCAGTGTCGCAAGAGTCATGTGACCGGGGTGGCTTGCTTCGGTTACTTAATGCCGACGGAAAAGGAAAGCCAGCCCTGATAAGGATTCAAAGAAAGGCTATATCGCGGCATACAAGTCTGACCATGAGCTATCGGAGTTATTGCTTGCACTTATTACCGTAAGATCAATTGTATTTAATGAACGTCCGTCATACGTACCTTCCCAGACACGTTTGTACTTATTCAACACCATGGCTGACTCGACACTCGCCGACTTGCCTCTCACCATTAAAGACATCCAAGATGAAGCCGAGAAAAAGCTTCCCCAGCTGTACCGATGTATGAATATATCCGATATTAAGCATTACTGATGTCTAACCGTCACAGACTACTTCAATGAAGGGGCCGGTGAGATGGTCAGGTACGCCATTCGTTCAGACGGAAATCATTTCAATCGCTCATTCATTAGCTACAGCCTGCACGACAATGAGAATGCCTTTGCCCGATACAAACTGCGACCGCGGGTGCTGCGTGATGTCGAAGAAGTAGACACCACTACAGAGATCTTTAAAACGAAGGTTCCAAAGCCGGACTCGATTACCCTTGAAGCGTCTAATAATGTGTTTTCAGGTTTCCTTTCCTCTTGGATTTGCCCCAGCGGCTGCCCACGGCCTCGCCCATTCAGACGGAGAACGAGGTACGTCGCACGCTGCTTCTCACAACGGCATCGCGATGTGTCTGTCTACATGGTCGACCACGAGCCCGGAGGAAGTGATCGCGCAGGGCTCGGGAAATCCGTACGCGATGCAGGTATCGTTTTTCAGAGATATTGAAGTCACGCGGCGCATTATTAAGCGAGCTGAGGGTACGTGCTGGAAGCCACTCGACCGATTTTGGGAGAGAGCTGACTGTATCAGCGGCCGGATACAAGGCGCTGTTTGTTAGTGTCGACCTGCCTGTAATCGGAAGTCGACGCAATGAACAACGAAATAAATGGGCGTTTCCCAGCCATATTAGGTTCCCTAGTCTCCAGGGAGCTACTGATGATTTAATGGCTATATACGCTGCTGGTTACGGTACGTTATCATGCATATTTTAAAAGAAGCTTTTGATTTAAATGGCATTTTACAGATGCGAGCATTCGATGGGACAAGATAATTCCCTGGCTACGAAAGACGACTAAAATGGAAATCTGGCTGAAGGGTGGTTCGTATCCTCGTTACCCCCCGCATGGTTGATTCTGTACTGATGACAATAGTGTCCACTGCCGAAGACGTACAACTCGCCATTGAGCACAGAGTGGACGGAGTAATCATTTCCAACCACGGTGGCCGCCAGCTTGACGGCCAGCCCGCCACGCTCGACGCACTTCGCGAGTGTGGCCCCATAGCTAGAGGAAGGATTCCCCTTGCCGTCGACGGTGGTATTCGGTCAGGAGCGGATATCTTCAAAGCGTTGGCCCTTGGCGCCTCGATGTGCTTTGTGGGACGTATTCCAATCTGGGGCTTAGCAGTACGTATCTTTCTACTCTATGATGGCTATGGCTGACAGTTTGCAGTACAGCGGAGAGGCTGGCGTCGATATAGCAGTGAAGATTTTGCTCAAAGAGTTCCGCCATACGATGAAGTTCATGGGGTATGTTGAATGTCCGAAGTGATGAGAACGTGCTAACAAGATCAGATGCCGGACCATTCAGGATATCAATCCGAGTCATCTTTCTTTGCTGCAGGCGGACGGTCTTTTGGCGAAACTGTAGATTCCATGGTCCCAATCAATCATCTGGCGCATGCTTTTCTAGAGCCAAAGTTACAGTACTGACGGAATGTCGTGAATCAGTAATACTCGGATTCTTCTGAGTTGACATAGCATACAAAGTAAAAGGAAATCCATTCTATTTTAAAAAGTACCTGTCTATAAGATCAATCCCAAATTGCCTGAATCATCCGCTGGCACGTACGAGCTGGTTCTTCTTTTGAGCAGTCGGCCTCGACTTCAGCTATGCCAGTATGCAAATCTATGTTGAATGGATGCCGGGCCCACGAGTCACCACGAGCATATATCCGATGTGTGAAATAGATCCCCAGAAACACAGGTATACCGATATAGGATGTCAAGAAAGTTGACACAGACCAATTTCCTGCAACAAAGACGGAGAACCCATTGCAAAGCAGCAGAATAGCAAACACGAACGTGGCCATCCAGACAAGATACGGCTGAAAACGCGATCGATATGGCAGCAATGTAATGGCCTGTGCTTGGCATGCCATGCGGAACCGCGTGTAGGTGATGCCGCAGCATACCCACGAGGTGAACCCAGCCGTATTTGTCAGATTGATCAGCCAGTTAAACACTTGACTGGCGTCGTTCCCGCAGTTCAGATACGCCAATAAGCCCAGCACGCAGCTAGCGAGGACAGCCCAGTACGGAGCACCCCACCGACTGCAACGAGTGAATATCTGTGGGGCGTTACCGGCCACTGCAAGTGAATAAAGAGAACGGCTCGACATGTACAGAAACGAATTTGCCGATGACCAAGCTGATGTAACAACAACGGCATTTATCACGCTATCTAGTCCTTTAATACCGGCTGCTTTTATGGAAATGACCCAGGGCGATGCGCCTGCTCCAGCCTCCCCACTGAGCAGGCCGGGGCCATTACTGTCGCAAATAACACCAATGGCAAGAACGCCAAACACATAAAAGAAAAGCAACCGGTAGAAATAGTGCTTTGTGGCTTTGGGAAGGTTTCGTTGGGGATTATGCATCTCGCCGGCCGTAATCACCAGTAATTCCGGGGCGAAGTTGAATGAGAAGACCGAGAAGCAGGCGACATATACAACACCACACAACCGGCCCGCTGCTCCTGGTACGAGATACTCTTTGGCAGGACCAGGATAATTCCAGTAGTGAAAACCCAGGCGCTGATGGGTCGGGCCACCACCAAAGAAGAGTACCATGGACAGAACTAGCAGACCAAGGATCATGAAAACCTTGAGAGAGGCGAACCAGAACTCAGTCTCTCCGTATACCCAAACAGGGCACATATTAAGCGCAATGACCACCACCAGCATTATCGAAATCCAGACTGCAATGTTGATACCGCTGGGCCAATAGTCAATAACTAGACCAGCCGCCGTGATCTCGTATGCGACAAGGATGGCAAACGAGTAGAAGTAAAGCCATCCCAGGGCAAACCCTAAGCTGCGAGATACGAATCGGTTGGCGTAGTATGCCATTGAGCATCCGGGTACGGGTAGGTATGTGGACATTTCGCTGGTGGCCGTGATAATGCCGTACACAAGAATGCAGATGACAACGTACACGCCCAATAGCGGAGCCGGGCCAGTGATTGCCAATGCCTCGCCAGTACCGACAAAAAGCCCCGTGCCAATCGTGCCCCCAATAGCAATCATTAGAGCGTGTCGAGTTTTGATCCCTCGCTGAGTTTGGAGAGATGCGTCGACGACTTGGCCATCGGCAGGAGTAATAACGGGGGAAGGATCCTTATCGTCATGGCGTTCTTTAACACCGGCTTCAGGATCGTTCATTGTGGAATAATTCAGCAGCCGAATTGAAGGTAGAAGAGAGGCACTATGCACGCTATTGAGAGAGCATTGTGCTGGGTTATAACGGTTGCTATATGCCATTATCGACTCGGTTTGTATACTTCGCTTTTCTGGATCATGATTGGCTTAAATCAGTGTTTATCGCAGCTGTTGATATCATACAAATGCGGCAATTCATCCCAGTCACATGTTCAGTCACATGCTTGCTATCAGATAAGGATTATAAAGATGTAACATCATTTCAACTTCATGCTGTATCACCAAACATTGCCCGCCCATCATGTCCGCTACAACTACTATTGCGCCATCGACAGATTTATCGCTTGGTAAAAGTGAGAAGCCGGAAGCTTCCCATGCTGTTCAAGCCATCTCACAAGGGGTTCCTCTTCCCGGAATCCCCTCCTTCACGTCTATCGACAAAAAGCGACGATGGATGCTGGAGCACATGGCCGGAGCATTTCGGGTTTTTGGGCGTAACGGATATGGAGAAGGAATGGCCGGTCATATCTCTCTGCGTGACCCAGAGCATTCAGACTGCTTCTGGACTAATCCGTAAATTACTTTCCTCCTTATCAGGATCAACGGGGCTAATTTTGAATGCAGACTAGGAGTCCACTTTAGCTTGGTCAAGGTGTCAGATCTTATTCTACTCAATCACAGCGGCGAACCCGTAGGTGGAAACCTGAAACGACCGGCCAACGCAGCCGGATTCCAGATCCACGGCCATTTGCACCGGAAATATCCCCATGTCAATGCGGCGTGTCACGCGCATTCAGTCAATGGCAAGGCATGGTCGACCTTTGCCCGGCCTTTAGACATGATCAACCAAGATGTGGCCATGTTTTATGGAGAGGCGCAGGCAGTTTATCCCGAGTTTGGCGGTGTCGTGTTCGATCCGGAGGAAGGGGAGCGCTTGGCCAAGGCACTTGGACCCAAAGGGAAGCTCCTTATCTTGCGGAACCATGGGCTTTTAACCGTGGGTCAAACTGTTGACGAAGCCGCGTATCTCTTTACCTTGGCTGAAAGGAGCTGTGAGATTCAGCTTAAGGTGGATGCAGCCGCTGCTGCTGGTATTCCCAAGCAAATAATTGATGATAAAGTGTCTGAGTATACTTTTCAGATGACCAGTGAGCCGGTATGCCTTCCAATTTCTTTATTCTATTTACGGTTACTCACCTCGAGTCTTAGGAGGCACATTACTGCGAATTCCAGCCCGCGTATGATCTAGAGCTAGAGATGTCCGGGGGTAGATTTTTAGAGTAATTTGGCTTAACAATGCCATTTCCCTTGATTTGTCTCCCGGGTTATTTTCTCAGTAGTATCAATCTTCAACTTGAATGTTGAGCATATATGTAAAATTGATACGACCGAGATTTCATTCTTTTTGCGTTATTCAAGGCTATATATGTAAAACATACTATAAAGTCTACCGCTTGACGCTGTGATCCTCTGGCTCGGGGATCGTGACCAACCCATTCCGCTCCTTTGTCTTCCATTGCACAGCACGCAGGATATGATACAAAGCCGTGAGAAGTGGCATAGGAACCCCTCGTGCTAGTCCAGCTCGCAGCGGCTCTCCTACAACCGTCTCAAACTCGCAATACCGGCCCTTGCGGAGATCAACCTGCATACTTGGCGGGTTATACATCGTGATTGGGTCCATCCGGATCATTGTCTCAACCAACTCCTCCGGCAAATCGTGACCGTAAGCCTTGGCAGCTGCCCGGATCTCTTGCATCGCCGGTCGGACAAGATTGTCAGTCGCCCCGTCCGCCAGCTGCATACGACCTGTGTCGAGATCGGTAACGGCACATATTGAGTTCAAACAGGCATTGTATAACAACTTCCGCCAGCGCGTCCATCCGACGTTAGGCTGGTATTCAGGACTGCACTTGCCTCCAGCCTTGTATATCTCCACAAAATCCATCGCCGCTTTCTGCTGGACCTGTGCGTCTAGATTTGGGTTATCGAAAGCTCCAATGGACGCTCGATCGTGATCTTCGTGGACAATCTGTCCTGTTCCCACTTCGTGGGATCCGCAAAAGCTCACACTGGACAGAACAATGTTCTGCGGGAATGAGTCCAGAATGGGCTTCTCGATGTTCAGTCCATTTTGAATCAGCACTATGACCGAGTACCCCGGGGTCACCGCTGGGCGGATAAGATCGGACAAGCTGGGTGGAACGTCGGCTATATTCTTGGTTGTGCAAACGATATATCGATAAGGCTCGATGTTCTCCTCGGACAGGTTTGGCACGGTATTGCGGACTGTCTATTAGCATCTTGGAGAGAACATAGAGGGAGGTAAGGGCCATACTGGTATCCGGATGGAATGATTCAACAACTCCGTGGTCGAGAGATCGAATGTGAAATCCATGCTGCTTCACATGGTCGTAGTTGGAGCGCAAGACGGTCGTTACCCGGGCTTTGCCTCCTGATTGCAAGTTTAGAGCAGCAATGGTTCCAATGCCGCCGCATCCAACTATCAGTGTGTTGACCATGTTGAATCTGAAGGACTGCTTGTCGGAGTCGGAGATGTATAGCACAGGATTTACAAAATCTCGTAGCAATACCTGACAACGCTTGAAAGTTCACAAGAGCCGCCTTTTATCGTTGAGAGTCCTCCATCTCCCCGTTCCCTTCTATCATTGAATAACAAATTGCTTGGGAAAGTCATCCCAGTCACGTGTGATAGTATTGTTGACATGGCCATCGCTGTGCTCAAATCTGCTGTATGGATAATTCCATTGCCTTGTTAACGTCGAAATTGTATGCTCGCTATGTACATATTTACACATCAGTTCTTGCAGAGCGTTTGGTACTTTCCGAATTGGCCCATATCGAGTAAAGGCCGGCAATGTGGACATAGTCCGGTCTCGAGTCAACAACATACAGGAGCGTAAGGTACCCCGCCGATTAGTGTTATCTGTGCAGTGTTGGCTCTGGATATCAAAGCGGAAAGTCACCCCGACGCATACCGTACAGTAACTTGCCTGTCTAGGAATAGCATTCTTAACACGGGACCTGATAAAAGGACAACCAGCAATCGGGAAAATGACAGTAGCTTCAATTGTCTTTCTGAATTCATTTTGCAAACATCATGACTGGTGGAATCCGTTCAATTGATCTTCCCGGCACTCGCGCTGCCTACTATGCTCCAGCTACTGTGACATCTCAGCCGCCGAGCAGCTGGATTCATGTTTCGGGCCAACCTGGATCGTTGGTCAATGGAAAGGTTCCTTCCGACTATGAATCCCAAATCCATCTTGCTCTGTTGAACCTGCACAAAGTCTTGGTCGCAGCAGGTACCTCGACCGCGGATATCGCCCGGCTCACGGTCTATATTGTCAACTACGACCCCCAACGGCGCATACATACCCGCCACATTCAACGCTTTCTACGATCCCACCGGCCAGCTATAACGCTCGTTCCAGTGTCTCAGCTCGCAGGTCCGGAATGGCTGTTTGAGATTGAAGCCGTGGTGGCCAAGCCTCCGGCGATTTCCAGGCAGTTAGATGCGCCAGATGCGAAGGTGTGGGATGTGGTGGTCATTGGTGCCGGGCTGGCCGGTCTCACGGCCGCGGAGCATTTGATCCGATCCGGTCACTCTTGTCTTGTTCTCGAAGCTCGCGACCGTGTTGGAGGCCGAACCTGGAGCACGACATTGCCTGACGGGAAGGGAACAGTGGATATCGGGGCTGCGTGGATCAACGATACCAACCAAAGCAAGATCTACCAGCTGGCTAAGAGAGCTGGGGTTGAATTCATCGAGCAGAATACAACAGGAAATTGCTTATTGCAGGAGTCTGCAGAGAGTAAGCAGACGTTCGCATATGGCGAGGTCCCGGTTAGTACATCCGTTTCTGCCGTTGGTGCCTATATTGACAAATACAGTTTGATCCCGAAACGCAGAAGCAGTTGGCTGTAATCCGAAATATGGTCGAGGCCGACTGTCAACAGGTTGATTGTGCGCGACCGGACGATTCCACCCTGGACTCAGTGACCTTTCTCGCGTACCTCGAGAGCCGCCAGGCTAGTGACAAGGCGATCTCGACGGCCGCCATCTGGACCCGTGCGATGCTGGGCCAAGAGCCCGAGGACGTGTCGGCTCTGTACTTCCTCAACTACTGTAAATCCGGCGGCGGACTGCTGCAGATGCGTTCTGATCGTCGCCATGGTGGCCAGTACCTGCGTATTCGCCAGGGCACGCAGTCTTTTGCCCAAACCCTAGCGGCAGCACTCCCATCGGGCACTGTGCAGTTGTCATCCCCGGTGATGGCGATTAGCCAACAGTATCCCGGTCGCGTGTTGGTCCAGACACGGAATCAAACAATGCAAGCCTCGAAAGTGATCTCTGCCATGCCATCCACCGTCCTTCGAACCATTGACTTCAATCCACCGCTTCCAGCCCGTAAACAGCTCTTAGTCGACTCATTCAACTATGGATATTACACCAAGGCCATGGTGGTTTTTCGTTCTGCCTTCTGGGTGAATAAAGGCTTCTGTGGTCTGGTTCAATCCTTCACTGGCCCGGCATCTATTGTCAGGGATTCCAGCATTCCCAATGACGACAAATGGGTTTTAACTTGCTTCCTCTGCGGGGACTCTGGGCGAAAGTGGTCTCAACTGCAAAACTCCGAACGAGTGGATGTCTTGTTGAATCAATTAAGCGAGATATACGGCGATTCGGATCTGGTACGCCGAGAATACATCACAACGGTTGAGCATGAATGGTCAAAAGAGGAATACTCGGGCTTCGGATGTCCTTGTCCGTCGCTACCTCCAGGGGTGCTAACCGTAGCCGGGGATGCTCTTCGGGAGCCTTTCCGTGATGTCCACTTCGTAGGTACCGAGACGGCAGCTGAATGGAAGGGATACATGGAGGGGGCGGTGCGAAGCGGTGAACGAGGAGCAGCAGAAGTCCAGAAGCAGTTGGCCATGGCTCATCTGTAGAACTAAGTAGATACCAGATTAGATATAGCTCGAGCGCAATCCAATCCAAGTATACGTATCTTGTCAGAACCCCGCATCTTCGTTATCGCTGACTGTGATTCTATTGGCTGTCGAGCTGTGGATTTGAGATAGCCAAGTTCATGTCTTGACCATTTCCTTCACTGAAGAGATTCGTCTCATTTCAGCTCCGTATCAAACATCATGTCTCTGCCCAAGCGCGATCGGTCTCTCGAAGGATGTGGTACATGTCGTTCGCGGCATGTCAAATGCGATGCCCAGCGGCCAGTGTGTCAGATGTGCGTTATCTCGAACGTGCCCTGTACAGGCTACGAGATCCGTCTGCGGTTTGTCCACCATGGGGAGCCAGAGCCTCTCGGGATCGATGATGCTACACGCTTCCGTCGGCCACTGTTCACTGGCAAGTCCTACCCGTGGGTAGATATGAGCGGCCGCTAACCATAGCCAGGTAGAACCACAACGGCAACAGATGAGTGTCGACCTAGCTCGAGCTATACACCGAAGTGATCCAACGCGAGCCTTGATGCAATTAGACGAGGAGAGCCTCTCCCTCAGTTCCCATGATATCAATCTATCGAAAGGCCCTTTCAGGGTATTTCAATTATCCTCTGAAAGCCCAGAAACGGTATCTCTCGACGAGTCCGGCGATCAGAGTCCGAATGTCGAAGCTATCAGTGCCCTCGGTCAGATCGATGCTGAACCCTGTTGGGATGAGAATCTCCTGGACTTATCACTTGGCCCGATTCTCGACACCCAAGGCGAAAATGAGTCGTGGGGTGACGATCATTTCGAGTTTCCAGTGCTTTTCCCCAGCGTACCTGGGCCCATGGATTTAACGCCAGATGCTTGGGAATTACTCTCTTACTATCGGGATCGAGTGGTTCCCCTGTTATCGCCATTGAACAGCGCCCACCACAAGTCCCCGTGGAATCATCTGATTCTTCCCACGGCCATGAACGTACTAGCAGAGAAGTCCATGGGAGGTAATGTGACTGCGACACGATCTGCTCTGCTGAATGCAATCCTGGCAACCAGTGCATTTCATCGACGTGTATCAGGAGGTGAATTCTGGCAAGTAACGGCAGAGGGCTATGAGAAGCAAGCGCAACAAGACCTCTTGCGTGGCTTTCAGAGGGAAGTAGGGTCCGCATCGAAGCGAGTGAAGTACAAGGAAGTGCTTATGGCGCTCGTCAATCTGGCCACATTATCGGTACGTTCCCCGTGCTGCCATTTGCACGCAACAAGAGTTTGACCGGACCTCAGGCTTTCCAAGGTGAACCAGATAAGCTGCTAGTGTGCCTGTTGATTGCAGAAAGGTACATTCGCACCAAGGGATTGACCAAACGCCGTCTGTCGCGCAAGGTCCGCCTACTACACCATTGCTACGCGTATTTGCGCATCATCAACGAAACAGTCCTCCTACCTGACATTGTGACTGATGAGGGCCACGAGTTGCGGTCCATCCTAGACGCTCCGGGACCACCCAGTGAGGCGCCCCTCCGGATCACGAAGTGGATGGTGGTGCCCGACTTTGGGCTCAGTACCGTCAAAGATCTACAACTGGGGCAAAATGACCTGCACCTGGAGTTTCCGGGACGGTGGGATCTCACGATGTACCCGGAAATTTTTGGTATCCCCGAATCTTTCGTCGGACTGGTCTCTCATATTACCCGACTGGGGAATGAACGAGATCGCCTCCTAAATGGCAGCCCTGCCAGCGACGGGCAAACACCCACAATGCGCGACTTCCTACTGCGGGCCAAGCTATTGGATGAGCATGTATGTCGATGGGAGCCACCGTCCGGTCCTCATCACTTCATGTTCTGCGCCATGCAAAAGGCTCTGTCCGTCTTCTTCTACCGACGCGTATATGATGTCGACGTGACAACCCTTCAGCATTCCGTGTGGCAGGTCCGAGATCTGCTGGCACAGAGCCAAACGTGGTATAGCGAATCAGGACAACGCGCGGTCTACGCTGTGTGGCCGGCATTCGTGACGGCCTGCGAGGCATTGAGTCCAGATTTGCAGGAATTCTTCCAAACCTGGTTCGAGCAAGGCTTTCAGCAGAGCGGGTTGGCTTCTTTCCGACTGGCCGGATCGATTGTACAATATGTTTGGGGCAATCGGGCGCAGGAGAGGGGCAAGGCTGTGCACTGGCCAGACATTATGCGATCAAAAAAACTGGCGATGGTGTGCATGTAGACTACCATTAGGACAATTAGCACAGGCCATATAGCACCCATAGCACCCATGCCACTCATGCCACTCATGGCACATTGACGGTGTACATACCTCGACATTGTTGTAGACATTCCAGTCGCATTGTGTCATTCCTGTACAAAACCGGAGAATCCTCGGACAAGAGTAAATCCGGCCCGCCCAGGGCAAACAAGGGCCCGTGGGTCACGGGAGCGGGTCACGGGTTTTTTGCGGGGGTTTGTATTTACGCCAAAGTTTGACAGAAGTTAACAAGGAGATTCTTACATACATCACTTATAGCCTGTCTTCACGGCATTTGCATCTGTCTACAAGGCATGCAGTTGCAATGTCCAATACTACCTCCTCCAGCCCCGGTAACTGGATCATTGGCGGTTATACCGGCAGCAGCGACGGCGTGCGCATCGCGATCGCGACTTTTGTCGGGGTCGCATGGTATAATGTCGGCGAATTGATGGTCCTGGTCTTTCTCACCTTCAAGAAGTATCGCGGCATGTACTTCTGGAGTATGCTCAGCTCGGCTTGGGGCATCATCCCCTACTCCCTCGGCTTTCTGCTCAAATTCTTCAACGCGACTGACGCTCTGTGGCTGCCTATCACGCTGCTTACGGTAGGCTGGTGGGCAATGGTCACTGGCCAGTCCATGGTGTTATACTCGCGGCTGCACTTGGTGCTTCGGGATATCAGGATCCTTCATCTGGTGCTGGGTTTGATCGTCCTCGACGTTCTCCTGCTGCACGTTCCGACGACTGTGCTGACCTACATGGCCAATTATTACAACACCGACGCGACGGTCACCGGGTACAACGTGATGGAGAAGATCCAGTTGACGGGATTCTGCGTGCAGGAGATTATCATTTCTGGGCTCTACATCTGGGAGACGAATCGCATGTTGAAGCTGAATCCGGAAAACGACAGCCGCAAAGTCATTTTCAATCTGTTCGCCGTCAACTTGGCGTGTATCCTGATGGATATCGCTCTGATCGTCATTGAATACGCCAATTTTTACATGTACCAAACCACCCTTAAAGCGACCATCTACAGCATCAAATTGAAACTCGAATTTGCGGTTCTGGGCAAGCTGGTCAAAATCGCCCATCAACATGTCTGGCGACCACAACTCATCGCCGGGCCAATGGGCTACCCAGTTCCTATGGATGCGAACCAACTGTTTGCCGATCTCGATAACAATTATGCCAGTACGCGAACTTCTTGAACATGGTCCAGGATCTTGAAATATTCGCATATGCACGGTCCGAAGCCGGATAACCGCGGCCCGCGATCTGAGAACACCTTGGCAGCTTCAATGAGTCATAAGTCTATATCTGGATTGATCCTCGGTCATCGCTCGTCTGCTTCCGCTTCGAAAGAGAGCGCGGTTGCGTTTATCTATGACTGCCCGAAATCCCGTCGTGACAGTTGGTCGCAAGCGATCGGTAGGGCCCAGATGATACATCTTTCCCGATGTGGTGCTCTATCACACTTGGCAGTGCCGCAATCGCGCAAGACTATGGAGTGCGTCACCTTTAATTCGAGACTGGAACTGGTATCTGACATCGGAATGGAGCACTACAAGTCTCTCCTACGGTCGATCGAATACACGCTCCCAATATAGGTGTGCGCATAAAAGCGCCATCCTTTTTTCGAATATACTCGCTCTTCGAGCCCGACGCAATTTCTACCTTATTATACGCATAAGTTGTTAATTCACCGAAGTATCACTATCGACATTGACGGTCCCTAATGATACATGGCTATGACTTTCATGATGCGATGAGAACGGATAATATGTTAATAATATTCTAGACAGTTGAATATGATAATTGCCTCGTTATTTTGTCCGCCTTGTTGTTTTTGCTTCCCGTCGCTTTTTATATCCATATCGCTGTTTCTTGAAATTAATGGAACTTCCTGTTGCAATTCAAGACACAATGGAATATGCCTCGGACAAGATGTTCAAACAGGATGGAAATCTCAATGCCTCATCTTCCTGGGCACATTCCTCCCATTCAAAATTCATCCTGCGGTCGAGTGTTGATTTGAAGCCTTTGTCCGATTCTAGAGCCCATTGGACAAAGACACCAACAATGGACTTAGGAGACGAAATTGTTTGAACCTTTTCGGTTTTGTTTCGTGGCATAATCCTTTTTGTTCCCTTGTCTTTCCTTTACCGAAAGCACTGGGTCTCAACTCCGCTATGGGACGGCAAGCGATTTGGAACAATCTAACAAAAAGCCTGTGTAGCAGAACGTCTATAAATATGCTCGTCCTTCCCATCTAGCGAATACCAAATCATTGACTCCCCCAGTGTCCTCAACCCAATTCATACCTCCCCGTTCCTACATACTTCATCCTGCGTCACTTACCATCCATCATGGACTCTGTTACCCAGCAGCACCTCGCCAAACTCCTGGAGTGGGCCAACATCCACTCCATCAACGACCTGGATGCGGATGCCGTGGACTATCTCAAGTACGAGCTCGAGGGTCGTGTTCCCATCACGCAGTTCCGCGTCCGTGACCATGAATACTTCAAGTGGCGCAAGGACCATCCGGATGTCGTCGATGTGGAATACGATGCGCCCACTGCGCATGTTGTTATCAAAGCAATGACCAGCGTCTTATACGACACTGCTATCAATGTGTTCGAGAGATGGTTCGACAAGTGGAGCGAGAAGATCAATGCGGATGGCTCTTTTGGTCATTACAACTGTAAGACTTTGGTCGGTAAGTAGAACCCCTCCTCCCTAAACGGAAATGATAATATGTGCTAATATGCGTCTATAGATCTCCATCTCCTGGGTAAGTACGAAGATAGCGAAAAGCAGGCTGATGTTGGTCTCTGGAAGGTTGGTCACCGATACCCCTCCGTAGTTGTCGAAGTGGGAATTAACGAAACTTTGCGTGAAGATGGCAAGCGCTGGCTCGAAGGCACCTGCGGTGAAACGAAGCGTGTGATTCTCATGAATATCACCGAGGAGAAGCGTCCTGGGTTGTCTGTCAAAGACCAGACCTGGGGATTAAGCGCTCGGAAGCTCCGCACTATCCAGCACGACGCTTTGGCCATGGAGATCTACAATTACCACCAGAAGCACAACATCCCACTGGTGGGTGAACGCTTCTTCTTCGACCTGGCGTCTCTCCGTCCGGGAGGTAGAATCACGGACGCTGTTTTCAAGGCGCCGATTCCGCATCTCAAGGGGCAGGTGCCTGGTCGCAAGTCGATGCAGAACATTACCGTTGTTCTGTGCGACAATGAGTGTGACTACACCAACCCAGACAATCCAACCAGTGACTTGGATCTCACGAGATTGATTTACGAACTGGATACGGTTATTTCAATGGAATTACCCAGGGAGCGCGCTAGCAAGATGGCTTGGGACTATATCATTCAACGCCTGAGTTAATGATATCAGACTGGTAAGTCCCTAGTTGCTTCTGCATTATGCTGTGCTTTGGGGTTTGTCTTTTCTGTTTGGCTTTCAGTATTCTGCGTAGGAGCAAAGTCCCTCTATTGCTTCCGTACTATATCTGTTATAGGTTGTCATTTTTTTTGTTTTTTTTTTTTGTTTTTGTTTTTGTTTTTTTGCTTTGCTTTATGTTTTCTGTCCTGTGTTTAGTACTCTATAGAGAAACTGAATTAAATTTATTTATTGATACAAATGTCTTCGTAGTGAAAATATACCATGACGTAGGCGTAGTGCAACTCCCGTAGTAATCCACAACACATACTCTTCGTCTTCCAGTCAAGGCTGGCCCATTCCTTTGTTCCATCGGCTGCTAGGCATTGGCTCCCCAATCCATACTACAAGAAGCGCCAGTCACATAGCTACTTTCCTCACTGAACAAGAACACTGCCACACTTGCCACTCCTTCAGCCCTTCTGTCACGGTGAATTGTTGCTGTTGGAGTAGGCTCAAAATCGCCAGTGCGGGCCAGGTTCACTTGGTGCATCGGGGTGTCAATCGCACCTCTGGATTGTGGCGTTGACAATAACAACGTGATCGATATAGGGCAAAGACTTGCGGCAAGATGTAGTCCACTCGTCCGCAAACCCGTTTCTTCGGCTGCGCTTTTCACCATCCCCAGAGCAGCATGTTTCGACGCTGCATAGGAAGCTCCAATTTTTGAAATCCGAAGAGAAAACATAATGCCGATATGGACCAAGCCCGAAATCATCCTCGAGAAATCCCAGTCATGAAGAAACAGATCACACATTTAACATTCCCCTCATTGATGTCCATGACGGAGTGATACTCTTCCTGGCGCGTTTGCCAGGACCTTTGTACCTAGTTCATGGCCGTGAGTTCAGCATAGTTGGCCACAGCGTTCAGCTTCCCCAAATGGGACTTGATCTTTGTGAGAAATGCTTCAACGGCGCGTCCACCGATCATGCTTCCGGTTTGGACGAAAGCAATTGGGAATCTGGTCCGAAGGGAGGCTCGTGTGGAGTTGCTTGAAACCCTGGGCAGATAAATCACAGACAGCTACCCGGGCACCTCTTACCAGACGGAACTTATTTGTCACCAAGCCCACCGCCAGAATAGCGCAGGCTTTATCCTGCATTGATGCCATTATGCCTTGTCTGTTCCTCTGAGGAAAAGTGCCCTGTCTCGTATATACGTAAATGACCAATCAGGAAAGCTCATTTTTCCGGTACTGCCAAGAATCGTCAAAAGAATGGGCATCAGCAGCCTGCATTAGCGGCATTTACTACCCCACGTCACTACATCATATACGATCAGGAATGGAAAATTACTAATTTCAGCAAATGCCAGTCAGCCTCATAAGCCTTGTATTTGGTCCTCCTTTACAAGAACCACACGCCCGGAGGTTCTCCGATGTTGGCCTTGAAAACCGCATTGACCAGCCTAGACATGATTCCATTTTGCAGACGCGCGAGGCTTCCTCGGAGTGTGGTCGAGTGTGGAGCTGCGTTATAAAGGGCGGTTTCTCGGAATACGGTGTTATTTTCGGGGCCGGTCAAGTGGGAATTCCTGAAACGTTCGCGAAGACATAGAATTTGTAGAGAATTCTAAGATCGACTAGTGTTTAGTCTGCTCATAATGCAGAGGTTAGCTCAAGACGACTAGTGTTGCCTGAATGTAGGTAACATGCCTTTCTTATCCCATGAGATAGTTGGCGTCGTCGGTATCCTCGTCGAGCTCCCTTGTGCTATACCCCTTTTCGACTTCGCGATCCGCAACCACAGAATCCGTCTCCTCAGTCAGGGCCCGTTTCAGGCTCCCGACGAAAAAGACAATCGCGTCGGCGCAAAAGAAAAATATCCACAGCATAAGTGCCATAAGCAGAACGAATTGTACGGAACCATAGTCCATCATCATTGCTTCCTCGCTCTGTAGTCGTGGCAAAATGAGTGGGATGTGTTTCGCGTGGACGTGTTCCCAGACTTTCTGAATGATTGAAAGACCCTCGAGGCAATGTTTAAAAGAACAAGCCTCCTCCGACTTATACGTGCACAAGAAACCGCACGAAGTAGTTTATATATAGTGGAGGCTGTCATCGCCGCTACAAGTTCCGGAGATAAGACAGAGTAAGCGCTTTGCATTAGCTTTTCTCGGCATTCTTGGCATTATCGAGTTGATTTTGTATGAAAAGGCACCAACTTTTGGTTTCTGGGGAAGATCCAGGTAGCACGCCAATGCCAGTATGTCGGAATGATGTAGAACATGTATACGGGCCCATGGGATTCCTTGTCCACACAGTAATTCGATACATCCCCATATTACAACAGTACTGTCGCTTGCTGCGATGGAAATTAAGCTGCTGTCTATTATACCTTCTATGTGACAAGCCAGTCCAGTATTCCGGAATAGGCCGCAACCTGTTTAGCTAATTGCGCATGGCAAATCCGATCCAAGCTTTATCAAGTTGGTCATGATTGCTATCGATGAGGTACTAGAGTAATACCGGCGGTTCAACCGAACCCAGGAAATCAAAATGCTTATCTTGCTTAAGATGCCGCGCAGTACCGGAAGGGTGCCTGTATAGGTAGAGGTAAAGGATTGTCTATTTGTCCATGCAACTTCATAACATATATGTTGCACCTGGCAAACCACCCTGTAAACCAATCCATGGCTTTACTTCCACCTTCGTAGACATTCCGGAATAGCTGTTCGTTGGAGAGCATACTTCATGCAAAACCGTTATGTTGCAACACAACATCTAAACCACGGAAATCGGTAGATGCAAGGTCATGGATTCTCCGGATTCGGCAATCTAAGGTTATCGCCAAGAAATAAGCGTAATCAACTTGCATTAGCGCCGGAAACTAAACCATCATAGGTAATAAGCGATAGGACTAACTCCGAACCATAGAAACAAGTCATAACATGACACAAAGAACCCCAATTACCAACGGCTTATGTGAGCCGGGCACGCTTAGGGCTACTCGTATTAGCCATGACCACCTCATGCCCGGGTATCCCGGGATGCAGACACAGCCACTAAACCTGTTAGAATACGGGGAAGGGCATCATCAATGATGACAGGATTCTCTTGGCCTTCATAAGCAATTGTTTTCCTACGGATGAGTTATATATTTTGTTGCCTGGATTACGTGGGGTCTTATCACAAGTGTATACCTTATGGCGGCTTAGACCTTTGAACACGGATTGACCATGTATATATATTGACAAAGTCAGAAAGCACCTCGTGTATAAGAAACGGATTTAACTCTTATGATCTGCAGCTATGAACTTGATAATCAGCAATGAGATCACAACCCATCCTTTTTTTAATCACGTGCCTTGTCTTCTTCATCGGGCATGTGTCAGGTATGCTATCTAACCGCCGGTGGGTTCTGCTGCTGACATGAATAGCACGCTCAATACGTCCCCGTGCACCGGCTAAGGTAGCCAACATCGAGAATGCCACCATCCACACACCATCACAACAAGTCACAGCATCAACAGCATTTAACCTTACATTCAGCCTGTCCGGACAAACCGGCGAATTTAGGCTCAGCCTCGAGCCCAACCATGATCTCCTCTCCCAGAATCTGTACACGCGGCATGTTGGCGTAAACGGAGAAGTTAGACGAACGGAAACGTCTGAGCGAGCACAGCATAAGGTGTATAGGGGCAAGACTCTAGTTCGATCAGCCGGTGGTCATTGGGAGACGGCGGGCTGGGCGAGAGCGTTCGTTGTTCGAGATGGAAACGATCCACTTTTCCAAGGAGCATTCAGCGCCTTTTCTCAGAAATATCATATCGATATCAGATCAGATCAGAATGGTTCTCTGGCTTCAAAAAGCCGGATGGTGATATACCATGATTACCCGGGTACCCATAAAGCAAATAATGAACATGACTTGCCATTTCGGGAACTCGACACTGCAATTTCTCTCGCAAAGCGTCAGTCCGTCTCTGATAGTTATGACTTGACCGACAGCATTGGTAGCACATCCGGCTGTCCAACCACAAGAAGAGTGGCAGTCGTTGGAATCGCCACAGATTGCACATACACCGCAGGATTCGACTCGGCGGAAGAGGTTCAACAAAGCCTAATCGACATGGTCAATACTGCATCTGAAGTGTTCGAAAGTGCATTTAACATCTCATTGGCCATCCGCAACCTGACAATCACCGACTCGACATGTCCCAGCAATACCTCTAATTCTGTCCCTTGGAATGCCGACTGTTCGGCCGGTGACTTGGACTGGCGTCTGCAGCAGTTCACATCATGGAGGAGAACGCTGGGTGACCGGACAAATGCATACTGGACGCTGATGAGTGGCTGTCCGAACGGAGAGCAAATAGGCGTCTCGTGGACAGGAGAACTATGCGATTCGCAATTGGGCGCGAATGTTGTTGCGCAGGCGGGAAGTGCATGGCAGGTTTTTGCGTGAGTCGTCTTCCCTGATCCAGCATTGCCGGCTTCTGACTGTGAATAGCCACGAGTCAGCCCATATTTTCGGTGCCGTTCATGACTGCACTGCAGACGCGTGCTCTTCTAGCGAGGAGTGTTGTCCGCTCTCTACTTCCACCTGCAACGCAGATGCACAATATTTGATGAACCCCGTCTCTACCTCCTCGCAGTCAGAATTCTCGCCCTGCACTATTGGCAACGTTTGCTCCATGATGGGGTCCAGTGGTATTGAAACGAGCTGCCTTGTCGACAGCGACAGCATACCCAGTCTTACCGTCGGCCAATGTGGAAATGGCATATTGGAAGAAGGTGAGGACTGTGATTGCGGTGAGGATGATTGTGGTGAGTGCTGTGACGGATCAACCTGTCGCTTCCGAGAAGGCGCCGTATGCGACGACGCTGCAGGATCGTGTTGCACAAACTGCCAGTTCCTCTCTGCGGACACAGTCTGCCGTGCAAGTACTGGTGATTGCGACCTCGCTGAGAAATGTACCGGAGACTCGGGCGCGTGTCCCACTGATAGACACGTACCGGATGGAGATGCTTGCGGGACTGCGTCAGATCTCTTCTGTGCGAGCGGCCAATGTACCAATCGGGACATGCAGTGTCGCGACCAGATGAATAGAAACAGCACTGATGTTTCCTCCTGTGGTGGAAACTCCTGTAGCCTGCGCTGCTCGGTTGGTATTTCGTCCGGGTCGTCAGACTGCATGGACATCGGCCAGTCGGTCTTAGATGGGACTCCGTGTGATGGGGGACTCTGTGTGAGTGGGCAGTGTCGAACAGATGAAGGCTCATGGGTCGATGAGCATCGATCTCTAGTCATTGGGCTTTCTGCTGGTGTTGGAGGTGCTCTTGTTCTTGCTATTCTTGCCGTTATCATTTGTTGTTGCTGTACTCGTCGCAGGAGACAAGAGAAGAAGCTGTCGCCAGCTATGTCAGTTACATCAGTTCCTGACCTACCAGCACCTTATTCTTCCCCTCAGCATGGACCCGGGACCGTTAGATATGCGTAGTATAAAGGCACTAGTATAGAAATATCAACCCTGGTCATCCTTGCTCCTCGTACTTACAACTGTAGCGTAGCGTGGATAAACAGCAAATTCATTCTGTTTACTTATTTTCGAGAGTCGTGTTCAAATTGGTATGGATTAATCGTCTCCGTAGATGTCGAAAGAAGCGGCAAAAACGAGTAGCTGACTTACTAAAAGGACGACTCAGGATACTGTCTAGCCGGGAGGGAAATCATCTGCTACACTTTCAATTTAGGACACCACCAAGGTAAATTATAATAAAGAGAGGAGAAATATCGATTCAATCCCAAAGAGCACAAGTAGAAACACTCAAGGTAGGAATGTAGTCGCTCAAACGTCGGCATTGTTTATACCACAACACCTGAGCATGGCTAAACTTAGGATCGACCAACCCTGAGGATCTAGCAGCGTGTACCACGCTCACAGTCTTAAAGAACTTTGATAAACTGGCCATGCAGGCATTGCATCTGCGATATTTCCGAGATTGAGTTGCAGACTTGGTGTTAGTAGCCCAACAACAGTCCTGAGTAGTGCATAAAGGCACTATGTCAACGTCTTGCCATTAGGAGCCGGGATCCAGCTTCTCTTATCGGATAGAGGTGTTAGTTGCCCACTATTTGTTACAAACCGTTGCAGTTCCATTTTATACCTGGGCGAGGTGCACATTCATGTAAGAGGTATTCCTTATCCGCGTCTGATAATACGCCCCTGGTGACCAAGCTCAATATAAGCTTATTGGTTTTTGGCGCTTTCAGGCATTCTATAAACGTGTGCAATCGCGAAGTGCCAAGTAGATGCAGGGATATAGATCAACTAGACCAGTCCACGCACCTCACATGTCCTTTTCTGAGGCGCATACTTCTTCAGCCGGCGCGGTAGAGATTATTTGCGTAGGTGTAGTCTCTGACAGCATCCACAATATGCGCAAATGTTATCTTTCAACTGAATGAGAAAGGTCATTCGCAGTTTATATGCTTCACAGTCGACATATCTTTGTCCGGTGTTCGGCGTTCCGGGAAAATGCAGTTCTTTTGCTGCGAGCAAAAAACGAAGCATCTATGTAGTATCTTCAAGCTAAGGACAAAATATGCCTTCATGGTTATTGACGAATCAGAGAAATCCTGGAAGAGCAGTTCTGGTGAGAGGTCAACCGACTATCGTACGCATTATTATCGAATCCACGCCGTCTCTATAGGAATCAGTGTATAAAAGACATTATTAGATAGCACAAATGAAGCCTTTTGTTGATATATTTGGTTAAAGACAAATCTACTCGTGATATCAGATTACGTGGATGGGCAAAGTATGTTTCTTGTAAGATGTCTGAATCATATGGAAGATAGACTGCATTAACTCTGGTATCCTACCAGTAATCCTATCGTGATATGCCAAGGAATCTGTCAAAATCAATGGGAAAAAATAGATTGTATCACATTAAAATGATCGATGATATCATTGTGATCATGGACCACATGCAGGGTCTGTCTCTCAGTCCAGTGGATGATCTTGAGAGACTGGCCTGCATACGTATAAAAACGCACATACGGACCTATCACAACAGCTGCATAAATCACATTCATTCCAGACTTGACCTCTAGTCCATTCAACTCACATTTTATCTCCTTTTCAGCTTCATCCCAGCACATTGCCAGGTCCGAATGGGGTGGGTCCCGGACGTGGACATGGAAGAACGGTGCGCCACGAAGTGGACCACTTGAAATGTCGATGGTTAGAGCGATTAGGCCCAATACAAGACCCATTTCTGGAAATAACTCAGGAAGGTCAGTCATTGCAGTTTGTTTAATGGGTTCGGGAAAATAGTACTGCAGGATATTGGTCCAGATATGACAGATCCGGTCGACGGGGTCGCTTGGCTGCACCTTGTGGATTGCCTTTTGCAAGGAAGAGTCGTAGTAGTCCTATAAGTTGTTAGTAAGAGCTTCAATTCCTAGGGGGAATATTACTCACCATGGTTGTAGGTCTCTGGATTTGCTGTGATTGAGTCTTGATGCACCAACCTTAGATCAATCTAGAACTACAGGGAGGAGCGGGAGATGAGTGGTAGAGAGAGCAGGGGCATTCTGGTATATGGCTCGAATATATAGACCATACTGAGACCACGCTGAGACAGCCTGGAAGCGTCAAGCGGCTATTGCCGTTTTGTGGTTTCAAATAGTATTGTCCAACAACAAAGACCTATACGATACATACAAAGCAGAACAGCCGTTCAGATGTGAACATTTCCATTGTTCAACACCAAATGGAGGAAACAATTCTTGCGATAGATTTTGCTTTGAATTTCCAAAATGTGCCATAGACAAGGCTGATTTTCTGGCATGGAAATTGACTATCTTATTGATTCTGGATTTCTTACCGTGTCTATAATAACTCCTTTACCATTAGAAAACTATGAGTCGGATTTGTCTAACATGAAACCACCATTTAGATCTATACGCAAAGTCATCGTGCTCGTTCCGTCAACTAAGCGATGTGGAAATCAGCTGACTAGCTATATAGGCACCGGGGAGTCTCATTTCACCAGGGGCTAACCGGCGCCAACCATGAGAAATACCACCAGGTTGTCTCCGGAGCCCATAAATGGGAAAAGATTATGATGAATACAGTTAATTTACTTGAGGAACCAGTCCCACTTGCGACCCACCGGTTCGTTCGCAAAGCTGCATTTGATTAAAACGCAGCCCTAATCATCTACAAAGTAACCACAGCGTTTCCAGCTGATATTTCCGATTGGCATAAAGCAACGCCCTCGGGGATCTTTTCCAACCCCTTTCCAATGGCCTGTGGGTTAGAGGCAGGCTTTAAGCTTCCATTCTTGAGGGATTCTGGGACGAAGTGGCCCCAAACACCTTCAACTATCTCCTTATTGTTCAGTAAATGAGCGGTATAGTTTACTACATTTGTTGTTAGAGCGGCTATATCCCCCAAAGGGGGTCCATATACAGAATGGAGTGGAATAGAGTCACTCACCACCCACAACTTCGACACCATCGGGTACATTCATAAATCCGGCAGATAGGTTGCTGCCAACGCGGTCACCACCAAGACCTTTGACTACCTCAGCACAACCTCTCCAGGTCATTTCTTCACCAACGGTGTCCAGCGCGCCGACAAATTCACCAAAAGTCTCCTTGATAGTTTGGACCAGATCTTGGGCAATGCTTTCATTATCGTAATCAAGCACAGCAGTGGCCCCAAGTCTCTTTACAAACTCTGGTTCTTCTCTGATGCAGCTAAAATGATGGTTGCACCTGACGTAACAGTCAACTCGATTGCAGCACTACCGGTACTTGAGGAGCCACTCCAAATCAACACGACTTGATGGATTAAATTTGGCTTAGTTGTCTGGAGTAACGAGATTTCCAAGCGCCTAGTTGGGCAGAGACCCATGGCAGCCGTGGAGAGTGTGAGAGGACACTACCAGCCTCAAAAAAGATTTCATCAGAGAGAGGGGCAACAACGGAGGTCTTGCAAATGCTGTAGTTCTGAAAGGCACTGTCTCTGGTGTCGTTTGTAAGGAACCAATTTGTTTCCCTTAAACATTAGCCTGGTATGCTCAAGTTATAGTTTGAGATCGAGTATCACCCAACAGCACGATCACCCTTCTTAAAGGCCGTCACGTTTCTGCCTATTCCATAGCCCTCTCCTGCGACATCGGCGCCAATTATTTGTAACTGCTTTAGAAAGTACTTCCTCAGTAGCAATAAAATGAGTACGCATGAACGGATAGTGCTTGGGAAACGGGAGGTGGGGCCTGAAAATCTGGAACTTCCAGTCCACTATACGGTATTAGCACACTCGGTGCTTCAGACACATAGTACCTGAAATGACTGACTCAGATTGATGGCAACAGCTTTATTCTGGATCACAATTTCATCGCCACCAGCACGAGAGAATGGAGCCTCCTTGGCGACAAACTCGCCGCTGCTTTTGAGCAACCAAACTCCAGAGTTCAGAATAGACATGATGGTAATAGAGACGTTCCAGATGGCGGGGATTGACAAATCAATACAGTTCAATATCCGGGAGAAGCAATCTTTATATACATCTCTCGTATCTGGCTCGGACATCTTGGCCGTATCTCTAGATCACCTTAACTCCGTGGAACCTCCGGCAAGCGTAGTAGAAATTAGCGCATGAGGCCCATACAATTACTCTTCTTAATTTAAGCGGTAGAAGCCCGTTTAGAGACAAAATCAATAACCTGGTATCATATGTTTAACTGCAGTTAGTTAGATTCACAAAAGCCTTGGCAGAAGGCTAACTGAATCAGGCGCTGATGGAGACTAAACAGCTCAAATCATTATAAACAATGTTAAGCATGCATTGTCTGACATCCGGGGTCCCAATGCATTCCCCATTGGTAGATGCCCGTTAGAGGAGGTGCGGTCACTCTCGAAGAAGTCTTCAAGCTTGCTTTCGCTGCTGCTCCATCTCTTTGACAAATATCATGTGAAGGAGTTATCCATAACCCCGACCATCTGAATTGAGGTAATCCTTTGCATTGCTCTGATACAAGATATCTTCGGAGTGAGTTCATGGAGCTCGCGTAATTATCCCTCTTCTTACATTGTAGTTCGTCAGGACCAGTGTATATATCCTTAGGAGAGGAATAAGAACTGAGGCTGATAAAGAATAGAGCGGAGGGCTTTATATTATATTCTGACAGAATAAGGATTGTAGGGGGGAAGTCAATGAATACAGTAAATATAGAGAACAGAGCCAAGGGTGAATGGAATGTAACCGTCAGTAGCACTAAATTGGTCATGATAGGGTCATCGAAGACCTAGAAGTGAAAATTTCATTGCCAATTTTAATATCACATACACATCCATGGTATCCTCCTAACATCAAGAGATCAAAACATCCCAAGGCTACCTCTTACAGTATCAAAGACCAACATAATCCGAAAATAATCTAGCAATCCAAACCAAACGCCAGAATTTGGTATCTATGCGCTGTAAGAGTCTCGATATTATGCAAAATTCAATTACGGTCAGGTCATAATCATCAAAGGTTGTCAAATAAAGGCTACAAATCTCGAAGCAAACTTCCCTCCACAAACGGATTCCCCGGAGACATGTCTAGCATGGGTTTTGTAGCGTTGCGATCACCTGTAGCTATTCCATGGCCGACCTTCGGTCCACTGTTGGTAGCTTTCTGTGTTGCGGAGCGGGCCAGGAGGCTGTTTGGGATAAATGCGTCGTCGGTTGGAGTTGTGGACGATGCGCGTGACCGGTTGTTGCGGGTGCTGCGGACTGTGTTGGAGCGACTAGGCTTTACGTTGGCGGTATCGGCTGCCGGCAATATAGGTTCTTCTGGGATCGGGAGTCGCTTCCAGGTCGTGGAGGATGGGATCGCAATAGCACCGCGAGGTAAGTCGGGTGTTGTCGCAGCATCGACCAAGGGTGTTCCCGGCTCGATGGCGACTCCTCTTCCCTTGCGAGCGTGTTGTGGTGGTTCTTGGTAGACAGGGGTCAAATCGACAAGGGGTTTATGATTTCCCTTACTCACAGACTGCGAACGCCTGACGTGTCCGCTGGAGTCGGGACCCTGAGTACTGGTCATTGTGTTTGATCGGCTGCTGGGTTGGCTTTGAGTCTCAGGATAATGACGGCGTCCAGCAGCTCCGGCTCCAGAAACAAGACCCTGAGGACTGAACACTTCTTCGTATGCCTTCCTCTCGATCTCTTCCCGTTCTTGCATCGCACGTTGGCGCATGACATAAGTCTGGCCCAAGAGTCCAGTAGAAGAAAACGGAGACACTTCAACTCCCTGCGCCGTGGCACCGACATTGGTGGTATCAAGGGTGAGTGGCTTTCCCTGAGAGGATTTGGTGCTTCTCCTTCGCGAAAGATATTGTTTTGCTTTTGAAGACTTTATACGCCCGGGAGAGGGGGGGTGTTCCTCGTCGCGCTGCTGATTCAAAGGCTCAAACTCAAGCAACGGTTTGAGCGGTTTAGACTGATAGGTCCTTGATCCTGATGATCCATCGCTCTGTTGTCGGGAGATTTCTGACACCGATGCTTCGTCCTTGTTTTGGCCATTACCCAGAATGCTAACCAGGTACCAGCTGCGCCATGCCTGAATAGCTCTGTACCAACCTTCAGCTATCCCCCTATCGCTTGTAGAGAAGAAATGAACATAGTTCTCCGTCGATAGGAACATGCTAGCCTTCTGCTGGCTCTTAACAGCGTAGCAAATCTTCTTCGGTGGCTTCACATCGTTTGAAAGTGAACTAAGCGTAGGGGAATAGACATCAAAGTCGGACAAGTGACAGATATTCATCTGGTCCTGTCCTTGGTACTTCTTCGACACGGTGACCTGGCCATCCGCACGCAACGTCACGTATCGCTTGTCCCATTTCCGAGAACGTTGAGAATGATAGATGTGAAACGTCGTGTCCACAGGTTGTTCAACCGGGGCACTCTGTGCCTCAAGCTGATGCAAAGCGTCCAAGCTTGCTGCAGGAACTATGATCAATTTGTTGTCCGTGTCGCTGGTCCAGGAATTCATGACATCGCGAATATATTCGTATTTTCGCAATGGCCGCTCCAAGCCGAACTGAGCGAAACGCTCGATCAAAACAAAAGTTTGGGCTTCAATATCGAAGCAATCTTGAGCCGATAGTAGCAGATCCTGCGCTGTGGTCGAAAGCGTGATGGGAAGAAAATTGGACGCCTTTCGGTACTGAACAAGCACCTGTCGCTCCCCCGCGTTGGCTGCGGAAACAGGGGCATCCACGCCAGGGAAGGTAGTACCACTTAGCTCAGAAGGTTCTGCTGATGTGCCCTCTTTTTCAGCCTCACCCTTTGACCGAAACAGTTTCATGGTATCCTTTAATGATCGAAATTTGGTCTCTTTTCCAGATTGCTGGCCGTTTGGCGAGGTGGCATGGTCGTTCTCGTTGGCATGCTTGCGATAACTAGAGGAATCTGTTCTCGATTCCAAGGTTTGTTTAGATGCCGGCCTGCTGTCTCCCCCTACCAACCGGCTCATCGCATCTTGTCGGTGTCTTGTACGTGCGACCTCATCCTCCCCGTCCCTAGATGTGTCTCCCTTTTCCACTGCTTTCAGATTCTTCGGTGGACTGCACGATGGTCCGTTGGATATTCCGGGCGCATGAAACGAAGGAGCAGGAACCAGTACTGGATGCTGCGCGGTGGGCGATAGTGCAGTTTTTCTCTGGCGTCGATATCGTGACGCACTTCTCACCACTCCTTGCTGGTTGGCAGAAACCGGAGAGGTTGGATTAGACGGCACTGGAGGGACGGGAATAGCGGGAATCGCTGTTTTCAGAGGCTCCTGTTTCTGGGAAGTTGCTCGTCTCACAGATCGATACCGGGAGAACTTCATGGGCGGGGTCTGGTTTTCGGGTCCTAGACCCATTGGCTGTGCTTCTACCGCCATTGTTCCGGAATACCCTATGTCGATTGACTTTAAAGGAATAGGCGGATTGAGTCGTGCACAGTACAAGAAAGCAAAGTCGTCTCGGAAGTAGGGCCTGCCTACACCAAATACAAACGAAACAGGAAAATGAGGGGAAGACCAAAATACTAGTCAACAACAAGGCTTGCCACCCCCTAAACAACGCATGCAGGCCAAGTCCCACAGGCCATCAAGTACATTATCCTCTGCAGTCCAGGCCAATAATTAACAGGTCATCGGAGGAATAGCAGGTCTACTCCAAACGAGGAGCAATGGCCAACAGACGAGTGGTGATCTCGAGCAGTCGAGCCGGAAAAAGAAAATATGGCGCAGTCAGAGAAAGCGCGCACAGTCAGACGGACGGACAATCGTCGACGGATAGTGGAGAATATGGATTTGATCCTGTGCCTGGCGATGGGGCACTTTTTCCGGGCTGCCGATACAACGAGATTGGTCCGGAGTATGGAGTAGCAACGAGGAAATCCTGTTTCTGGGAGAAATTTCAGGGTCAGTATGCCTCGAGATGAAGGACGAATAAATGCGTACCGGAGGAAAGAAGAGCGCGATTGATCCGGCGTTGAATCTCTGGGGAAGCAAGTGAGATTGGAGTCTGGACCAAAGTGGAGGCCTGCTAATTAAACCTGTCGCACTCACTGTAAGAGTACAGAGAGATACAGCCGGGCAAGTGGGCAACCACAGACAGGCTAAGAAGGAGGAGAAGAGCAGAATCGGTCTGAAATCTCAAATCTGACTGTCTCTGCGTCTTTTTGTGTTTCTTTTTGCGAATGGCTGAAACCGGAGATATCTCACCTGCTGATCACCTTCCTGTTCTGTACTACTTCTGCCATTCTATACCGCCTGCCATTTTCTGTAGGGCAACACCATACCACTCCTACTACTGTGTACTGCGTATTATCCTCTTCAAGGAACTCCTGCGGTCTAGGTACCTCTTGTCGCTGTAACTACACTCCCTACAAAGGAACGTGGCGAATCCAAGAAACGCCACACTGGGGATCTTTCACCACGCTATCGAAGTGTATTCCAGATCTGCCGGCGCTAACTGACACATTCATGCAGGGTCCGCGCTCAGTGGTACTAACGCAATATGGAGCACGGAGCACAGGGTACATACTCTGTGTACGGAATACGCGACCTCGCTTCAGTCTTTTATACTGTCAATTGCAGTGTTCAACGTAGACTGTATTTGGGCGGTTTTCTTTTATGTTGGTCATCCCTGGAGTAAACAATTCGTAAAACCAATGCAATATGGTACATGTCAATCCGTTTTCTTTAGAATTCCAGTTTCCGAAGACTCGTTTCACGAATCCTATTTTAGGCCAATCTATTTTCTGTAGGCTCCCAGGCTCTTGCGCCTATATCATGGATTAGCGTCTGCACTAGCTTCAATTGAAAGGAGACGACACGTACCACCACGCAACAAAGTCCATAGTGCTAACATCGATCCCAAGGTCCTTCAGAGCCATGGTCGACAGATGGGTATCATACGGTCTCTGCACAGAAGCATTCGGGTCGTTGCCCTGCTTATTCCGCTCCATTCCCGCTAACGACAGCCCAAGTACCTGCGCCAACTTTTCGCAGATCTCATACTTGGTCATTCGGTCCTCCGACGAGAATTGAAGGATCTTGGGCAACTCCTTGATCCTCTCCTTCTCCTTGACATACTTGATCACAATGTCACGGCACACCCGCGCCACGTCCTCGGTGTTAGTGGGATACCGCTGGGCCCAGTCGTCCATTTTTATACCTGCTTTCTCATCTTGTGCCTTCCACACTGCATCGATGAGGGTGTTTATGGCGCTTTCAGAGTTGTTGCTGGCAGTTCCGTACAGCACGGGGACACGCAGAACAATACCCAGGCCGGTGTCCTTGGTGGCTTCGAGGACTGCTAATTCACCATCGCGCTTCAATTGGCCGTAAAAGTTCGGTGGCTTAGTCTCTGCATTTGCTTCATATGGTGCGTCGCCTTCGGTTCCCGGGAAGACGTAGTCCGTCGAGATGTAGATAAGCATGGCACCTCGCGACGAGGTCTGTTCTGCCAGGAGACGTGTGGCATCGACATTGACTCTGCGAGCTTGTTCGGGGTTCTTGTCACAAAGGTCAGGGGAACGGTTTGCGGCACCTGAATCTGGGTTAGGAGTTCCGTGATGGCCGGGGTGTGCAACTCAGCAACTCAACGTACAATGAATAACGATCTGAGGCCTGTCATTTGAACCAGTATCAGCAACAGACTTACTACACGCCTTCAACTGCTAATTGTCAACAATGACTCACTTAGCCTCGTCCAGAATCGTCTTTACATCTTCGCTCTTTTCAAGATCCGCCTTCAGAATGGTTGGCGGGGCAGCTCTGGTGAAACCCTGGCCGACAGTCAAGCAGCCAGAGTGCTTGAATGTGTTGAAGACCTGACGGCCAAGGAGACCACTGGCTCCGGTAACAAGAACGTTTAGCGACATTTTCAGTGATGTGAATGGTATGCAGCAATGGTGAAGAAAAGTCGAGAAGAGTGAAGACGTGGAGCTGGGTGAAGACTGATTCCGGCGGCGGCGGGGCATGACGTAACATACCGAGTTCACACCAGCTTCAATGCATTAGGAAAAGATAGAAAACGGCTGGATATTCTAGAAATCTCGATGTTCTATTCGTATCTTGTTATGTCGGTGGTTATTCCAGCAATTGGTAGCTCTAGAGCAGTTTATGTTGTATGTCATTCTACTTGGTGCGTGTATTCAGGCGCACTACGGAGTAGGACCCCTGCATATACAGAACTATATCAGAACTAGAATAGGGAAGCAAGATGATAATAAGGTCAATTAAGCTAGTACTATGTCCTATGATTACTGGGAGTAAAAGACATGAGCAATACAACGGTCAATGGCACAATCGGAGTGCCATCGGAGCCCGGATAAAACTCCGGTGAGCGATTACGCTTCTCCAAATCCAAATTTCTAGCCCATTGCGATTCCTGTTCTTTTTGTTTCTCAACCTCCAGACAATGTCCAGCGCCAGGAACCTCTCTCTTGCCCTTCGACGGGCCCGAGTGCCCAGATGCCGCTCTTACGCACGCCCTTTTCTATACGTCCCTTCCGTGACACCCGCCCGCGCCTTTAGCGTCACCCCCGCTGCACGCGATGCGACCAAGGAGGTCAAGCTCACCAGTAACGCCTACCCCAACCTCAAGCGAAACCCCAGCTTTGGCGAGGTCTCTGCGGAAGATGTCAAGTTCTTCAAAGAAGTGCTGGGCGCTGAATCCGCTGTGGTTGACGGCGTGACGGCCGACGCAGCGGACGATATTGAACCCTTCAACGGTGATTGGATGCGCAAGTACCGTGGTCAGACGAGGCTGGTTCTGAAGCCACAGAACAAGGAGGAGCTTAGCAAGGTGCTAAAATACTGCAATGACAAGAAGCTGGCGGTTGTCCCGCAAGGTGGCAACACGGGCTTGGTTGGTGGCTCGGTGCCGGTGTTTGATGAGATTGTCATCAACACTTCTCGCATGAACCAGATTCGCTCGTTTGACGCTGCCTCGGGTGTGCTGGTCGCCGATGCCGGTGTGATTCTCGAGGTCGCGGACCAGTACTTGGCGGAACGCGACTACTTGTTCCCCTTGGACTTGGGCGCAAAGGGTTCATGCCATATTGGAGGCAACGTCGCGACCAACGCTGGTGGCCTTCGTCTGCTTCGCTATGGAAGCCTTCACGGAAGTGTTCTCGGTCTTGAGGTTGTTCTGGCAGATGGTACGATTGTAGACTCGCTTTCGACTCTGCGCAAGAACAACACCGGATACGATCTCAAGCAGCTGTTCATTGGCGCAGAGGGAACCATTGGTGTCATCACCGGTGTGTCGATCCAATGCCCGCCTCGCCCCAAGGCTGTCAATGTGGCCTACTTTGGCCTTGAGAGCTACGAGCACGTTCAGCAGGCGTTCTTGAAAGCCAAGGGTCAGCTCTCTGAGATTCTGTCCGCCTTTGAGCTGATGGACGGCCGCAGCCAGCACCTGGTCAACCAGTCTACCGGCAACAATTTCCCACTGGAGGGTGACTACCCCTTCTACTGTCTGATTGAGACCAGCGGCTCGAACGGAGATCACGACATGGCCAAGTTGGAGGCTTTCCTGGAACACATCATGGAAGAGGGCATTGTGGCCGACGGAGTTTTGGCCCAAGACGAGACACAGTTCCAGTCCATCTGGCGCTGGCGTGAGGGCATCACGGAGGCTCTGAGCCACCTTGGCGGTACCTACAAGTACGACGTGTCGATCCCGCTCAACGAACTGTACCAGCTCGTTGAAGACTGCCGGGAACGTCTTACTCAAATGGGCTTCGTTGGTGACGACGAGTCTAAGCCCGTTCGCGCTGTTGTCGGGTACGGTCACATGGGTGACTCAAACCTGCATCTGAACGTTTCCGTCCGGCAATACAATAAGGAGGTCGAGAAAGCTATTGAGCCTTGGGTGTACGAATGGATTCAGAAGCGGAACGGCAGTATCAGCGCTGAGCACGGTCTCGGTCTGGCTAAGAAGGAGTTCATCGGGTACAGCCAGAACGACACCATGCTGAAACTGATGAAGCAGTTGAAGAACTTGTATGATCCGGTGAGTATCCTTTTCCCTAGGTCTGGTCGCACTCAGCTTACTAGTATAGAACGGCATCATGAATCCCTACAAGTACATCTAAATAAAATCGCATGGTTTCCCCGTTTGTATATACCAATTTCGTTGATAACCAAAAGCATGATTATCTGTAACCGCATTGAAACAATATCCGAAACATGCCTTAGGCATGAAACACATGATGTAATGCAGCCTCAGGCACCTGGTTGCCATGTGCTACGGCCGTTGCTCCCAAACCATGGGCAGTGCGGCGGCTGATCCAAGGCCTGCGAGGAGTTCCTTGCACTACACCCAATAACACCCTATTCTTTCTTTTCCCTAATGGTAGCCAGCCTTTAGCTACACCGTCTTCTTATTCTTGTGCTATTCCACCTTGGTACCTTTTGACAACTGGCCGTACCGAGAACCGTTCCACCGGACAGGAGCTAAAGCTGCAAGCGGGCTGCGAGCGCGAGTGGGCTGCATTCCTTGTTGACCACGTCCATCGTTCCTATTTATCCACATCTTTTGACCCCGTTGGGTGACTACCCAGCGTCGCGCACACCATGGCAGACATGGCAAGTCAGTATCAAATGTTGGAGGAGTTGGGAAGTGAGTTTTCCGCTGTCATTGTTGCGGTGAGCGGTGATCGCAGGGGCTGACATGAAGGGATTTGAACAGGTGGGAGTTTTGGGACAGTATACAAGGCTATCGATAAAGCTACAGGGGAGATTGTTGCGATTAAACATGTCCGTTTCTCGAGATTCGCTTTAATTCGATTGGTTTGTCTTTGCAGGGACTAACGGCGATAGATCGACCTCGAATCGAGCGAAGACGATATTCACGAAATCCAACAAGAAATTTCCGTCCTATCGACATGCGCGAGCCCTTACGTGACACAATACAAAGCGAGTTTTCTTCGAGGACACAAGTTATGGATTGTCATGGAGTATCTCGGGGGAGGGTCGTGTCTGGACTTGGTAAGTATCGCGGATTCAGCTGTTCATTCAGTGAAGCTGACCCGTCTAGTTAAAACCAGGCGTCTTTAACGAAGTACATGTCGCGATTATCTGCCAGCAATTACTCGAGGGATTGGAATATCTGCACAGCGAAGGCAAGATCCATCGGGACGTTAAAGCCGCCAACGTCCTGCTATCGAATGTCGGAAAGGTGAAATTGGCAGATTTCGGTGTCGCAGCACAACTCGTCAACATCAAGTCTCAACGAAATACGTTCGTCGGTACCCCGTTCTGGATGGCGCCCGAGGTAATCGAGCAGGCTGGATACGACTACAAGGCGGATATCTGGTCGTTGGGTATTACCGCCATGGAGATGATCAATGCAGAGCCGCCGCATGCCAGCACACATCCTATGAAGGTGCTTTTCTTGATTCCAAAGGAGCCTGCCCCGCGACTGGAGGGAAGCCAGTACAGCAGTGCATTCAAGGATTTCATCGCGCAGTGTTTGACCAAGGATCCAGAGCGGAGGCCTAGTGCGAAAGACCTTCTGAGACACAAGTTTATTCGCAATGCTGGGAGGACAGAGGCGTTGCAGGAATTGATTCAGCGGAAACAAGATTTTGATGCTGGAAGAGGAGCAACACAGAACGTCAAGTATTATGCGGAGTCGCTGTACGCTATGTCCATCACCTTTCGCGGTCATTGTCACTAACGCGATTCCCTTTTTTCTAGACATCACGTCGCACAAGATCAGGACGAGGACGATGACGATTGGGTTTTCGACACCGTCAAGGCGCCCACGATGAAGAAACCGAAGCAATCAGTGGAGATCCTACCCGACGAAGACGACCCGTACGAATGGCTAGACGAACCCTCGCAGATGATAGACAACCTACATATTTCAACGTCATCATCAGTGTCCTTCCAAGACACCCCCAGCCCGACAGTGCGACGAACGCCTGCCCCAGATCCGAGTCCATCGCTACGACGAGCCAAGCGAAGGTCCAGTACCAAACAGCCCCTTGGTGTGGACTTGAGCTTCGGCAACACCCCATCTACCGTTCGTCAATTCCGTCGTGTGTCCGATAAGGTCCCGAGCGATACCTCGTACAGCCCACAGTCTTATCCCATGGTTACGGACGAGAACATGAGTCCCAAGACGCTATTCTCCGAATCGAACAGCAAAGAAGCGCGATTGGGTCAACGAGCATATAGCAAGGCTGTGGGATTATCGTGTCAGGAGGTTCTGGGGACAACTGCGGATCAAGAAAAGCGCGATGCGATTTCGCGACTCGCAGAAGCTTGGAGTGACCTGGAGATGGTTGACCCTGAGGGTCTATATCATGTCATCCGGGGTATGAATGAAAGGCTTGGAAGGTATGTTCACTTTGTTAATGCCGGCATCCGCATACCGCCATTTGGTTTCTATTGCAGACAGCTGACAGATCTCCGTCCAGCGACCCGAAATTATCCAGCCTCGTCCCACAAGCTCCACCACCCGAATCTCCCGAGAGACCGCGACTCGTCTTGGCCCAGAACAACCCACACCTGAAAAGTCACCGCCGGCGAACGGCATCGCCGGAATCCCCATTGCAGCCGTCCCAGCTTGCGGGCCTTCCTGGCCAGCAGATTCCGGGAATGGAACACACCAAGCAGTTATCCGATGTGCTTTACTCTCGCTGGGCGGACGGACTCCGCAACCGTTGGCCCGCCATTTAGCAACCTTTGTATGCCTATAATCTCGGTCTGCTTCTCCAAAACGTCGAGAAGTTCTTGACTCGTTGTATAAACCACCTGGCGTTCGATTTGGTACATCTTGGTTACTTACTCTCGACCCGATAATGTTTTGTTCGTGCTGAGCCGTGACTAATGGCTCGGTTTATTCGGCTTGCCGACTTTCTACTTAACTCTCGCCTCTTGGGTTAGCTGCTGGACAACAGCCCTTGATCGAGGACAGACCTTCACTCTCATTTCGACGGATGAACGTCTGGATTAATCTCCCCCCTTCCTCTCATTCCACCTTATTGATTTGGTTTTCCGGATAAGGGACTGGTGTTTAATTTCCGGCGCGGTACTATATTTTGTGTATTTGATCGTTCCCCTTTCCTGGTTGATAGATTTGTGCTTCTCTTTTTCGTGTGTACTTTTTGGTTCCCGGTTCACTGGTTTGCACACCAACCTGTGATATAGGTGTTTTGTCCGCTGGTCTGTAGGTATGTTTTGATATTGTGGGTATGATAATACCAGTCTGCAAATAATTCCATGCATTGCATCCTGCTCCTGACTAAAGTAAGGACTATGTCTGATTATGTCTGATATGCAGAAACCTCCGAACCCCGTACTGAGTGCAGAGTGCCGATTTAATCTCCTATCGATAGTGGACTATGTATAGCTGTCAAGTCAGTCGTAATAAAGCCTAGACCAGTCCAAGGCCTCAATTAAACACGGCAATCGGAATAAATAATCGTAAGCATAATTATTACTCAGTTGTGGCGGTTGTCCCCCTAAACTATGCGCGAACTATGGTTGTGACTGTGGCTCACCGCATTATTTGCATTCTGTATACAATTCTCTGCACAGTTCTCTGTACACAGTAACAGAATCCCAACTTCAATCTTCTAGAATTATACAATTGCAAGGTAGGTATGGTAGAAGTAGCCCCTGAATGTCTGAAACGAGCCCGGCGCTGCTACAGGCGGAAGGGATGCGCGCTGGTGACCCGCCTGGGGGGCTTTAATTAGGATGGAGGCTTTTGGACGGCTGAACGAATATTCTTATCCGTCTCCTATATCTTTGTTGTTGTTTTCTTCATGTTATGAACAATTGCCATCCGCCATCATACATCATTCAGCCACATCCAACATGGAGGTATGTCTGGGAAGGGCCGAGGCCGACCTCGACCTCGACCATGACCGCCACCGCCAGCTGCAGCCACAACAGCTACAGCAACAGCAACAGCAACAGCACGAGCAACAACAGCAAGAAGAACAGCGAAAAATCCGCCAACTCAAACGCCAATCTCTCCCTGCACGGCCGCACGCTGCAGCTCGACACAAAAAACGTCTAACGCTCAACTTCCCCATCAACATTCCTCCAGGAGGACTCGGCACGGACACCGCACCAGCCTCCGCTGTCGAACCCAGTCCGATCCAGACTCCCATGACCCCCTTCTCGCAGACAACGTCTACTACGAGCCCTGCTCTCGGGGCGCCCCTGCCCCTGGATACACAGCAGCAGGCTGACGAGAGCACAAACCTGTTGACGGCGATTGCATCACAGGAGCGGAAAGTGCTGGAGCTACGGGAGGAGCTGCAACGGGCGGAGACAGAGCTCTCCACGCTGAAGAAAAAATGGACGTTATCGGAGAAGACCAAGAAACGCACGGAAGTCAGCCACCATGCCGAACCATTAATATCGCTGCGATCCCCCGTCGAAAGTGTCTGTGGTGAAGAGCGAGAGTCACTGCTGCAACAGCATCGCAAGGAGACTGCGGCCGCAGACATCGTGCAGTCACAGCAACGTACGAGGGAGTTGGAGAGAAGGAGGAGTATGCGTATTGCTCCTTCTCCGGGGACTACGATATCGGCGAATGGACGAAGGGTGTTTCAGGGTTCGCATGCGAGGACGTTGTCATTGCTTTCCGCGTCGACAGATTCCGGGTTTAGTAGTGGTAAGATATCGCTGTCCGGGAAGTCGACGGAGAATGAGTTTGTGGGGAGGATGCCGCGGTCTGCGACGCTGCCTTCGTCTACTGAGCGGGGTGCGAATGGGGCCTTTGCGCCGACGGAGGAAATGATCACAGAGTGGCGAACGAATATGCCGCCCGCGTCTCGGGCCTCGCTTGTGCACACCGGGAAGCAGATGGCTTCGGATTTGAGGGAGGGTTTGTGGACGTTTTTGGAGGATATTCGACAAGCTACCGTGGGCGAGGAGGGGATTAATGCAACGGAGGTGAGAGGGATGTCGCCGGCCGCCATGTCCCGCAAACGAGATTCGATTTCGACTTCGACGTCGCGGAGCAGCAGAGATCGGTTGTCTGTGCATGGGGGAGGAACGTTATCACGTACTGCATCGTCGTCATCGCGGAGCAGGGGGGCGGGAGCTGAGAGGATTTCTGGTAAAGACACTAAATCGACCGACATCGATTCGTCGTTTTGGAGTGAATTCGGCATTGATACACCTGGGCAGAAGTCCCCGAACGCTCGCGGAGCCTCAAACCCCCGGCCAAACGGGCAACACAACAACCTCGAGGTCTACGATGATGATTGGGATGCCTGGGAGGCTAGTTCTCAGCAGCCGAACAAGACGCACACCCCATCCTCGAGCCGTTCCACGCTGGAATCGAAGCATGGCCAGTCTCCGAGGTCCCAGGCTAGCAGTCCGCGGACGAGTGCTAGGTAGGTTTCGTACACCCCCAGGTTGTTTTACATTTCTCACTGATGGTGGCACAGCTTCGGAGATTGGCGTCCAATCAGCCAGGGCGACTCTGTCCCCGACCCCAGTGTTTCCGATGGCATTCCGTGGCCCGCAATCACCAAGATGGCACCGACCAAGTTAAACCGCACCGCGTCAAGTCTCATGACCGAATGGGAACAAAGTCTTTCTCCTGATAGGGCCCCGGCCAGTCCTACCCTTTCCGAGAAGGAGAATAAGGCGGACTAACCGGCCATTCGCCCATGGTTTGGACATTTTCCTTATTTTCTTCTTTTTTCCTATTTACGTTTTGTTCTCTTTCCCAAACCTAAACGAGCATTGTGCCAACAGACACGGACACGGACTGAACTTGGACGAGCCGGTATATTGAATAACTGGACCATGATACAAACACGATACAAGAATCGAATAACGCAGGGCTATGATTGTGACCCGAATACCCTTTACGACAAAGCGTTTGTCTTTCTGCTGCTGCCCTTTTTTTTTTTTTTAGAGCCTTTATTTATCTTCTTCTTGTGTCTATTATAGACTATTTTGGACCTTTATTCTTCTCTTCTGATGTGGAATGTTTTCGCATAGCCATTGAATTGTATGTATATTATTTGAATGAATACTTGACAAGTGTACTCTATTCCTATAAGGGTTGTGTCGTAGGGACTGGACCTTGCCATCTAGACGGCGGAATTCCTCGAGATATCACATGACTTCCCGCGCTTATGGTGCATCCCCTCCGCCGCAAAAAATAAATTTCCGACGATGATTCCGCGGAGAGCTTTATCACGTCTCATTATTTTGTGAACCGCTATACAGACGCATCCTGTCTGCGACTTGCATACAGACTGCGCCTGAATCGCTTTGTCTACACTACTGTCCCGGAGACATCGCAAAACCCATATCGAATCTCGAATACTTAACCTCGCCTCCACCTCCCAAATCTACACCATGAGTTTCCCAAACATGACCCCGCCGATGGGCGGCATGGGAGGAGGCCCTAACATGCAAGGAATGAGCGAGCAAGAACAGATGATGGTCAAGGGCGTACGTTTGCAATTGAATATTCGATCCATGGAGGAAGATAGCTGATGTCGTATCTGCAGATGCACGCCGCAATGGAATCCTGCCCATTCAAAACCGTCATGTCCGGCGGCATGGGTTTCGCCCTCGGTGGTGTCTTCGGTCTCTTTATGGCCAGTGTACGTTCTCCATTCATTCCCTTCCCATTCTAATGTCAATGCTAATCCACACCCGCGGCAGATGTCCTACGACTCCCCTCTGACTCCCCAAGGTCGCCAAATCGCCGACCTCCCGTGGCGTCAACAGCTCCGCCACGGCTTCAAAGATATGGGTGCGCGCTCCTGGTCGTCCGCCAAGAACTTCGGCATCGTAGGTGCCCTGTACTCGGGAACCGAGTGCTGTATTGAGGGATTGCGGGCAAAGAACGATCTTACGAACAGTGTCAGCGCGGGGTGTATTACTGGTGGTATACTTGGTGCTAAGGCTGGGCCGCAGGCCGCGGCTTGGGGATGTGCGGGTTTCGCGGCATTTAGTGCCGCGATTGATGCTTATATGCGGATGCCGGGAGATGAGGAGTAACTCTTTTCGAGCTCAGTTGGGTTGGCTGTGGTTTGGAATTACATGGGATGGCGTTTGTTGGTTAGCATTATGGCGTTTGGTGTTACTTTTGTGTGGGCTATTGATGTGGCCTACAAAAGTCGTTGTTTGGTGTGCACATAGACTTGCAATCTCGCAACTCTGCTGTATAATATTAACGCTGTATAGATACATACATGGATGATAAATGGACATTAGACATTCTCCTGCAGTTCAAGATCCAATCCACCCTCAAAAGTCCTATTCTGGCTAACAATAACTTGCGCCATCGACTCAAACACCCTTGCCCACCATTCCTCCCTTTCCGATTGTCTCTTCTCCCTCTCAATCTGTCTTCTCAGAATCGCTTGTCACTCTGCTTGCATCTTTTCAAAGTGCATTTATGTTTCTGCGCGGATTTTGGCGAGTTGGCTTTGCGTGTCCGCTTGGATTTGCAGGCAGCGCTCCTTATACCCTATCCATTACTTTTGATGCTGGTCGGTGATAAGGTCAGGTGACTGGTGCTGGGGTTGAAAATGGAAACAGAAAAAAGGGTGAGTAATGGTCTGCGCCATTTGCGCGGTCCTCTTCGTTGCCAAACCCATACAAACCGACTTCTTGCATTTGGTGTTAGTATTGGCCTCTCGTGATGGATCTCTGGGCTCGTTCGAATTAGGGCTTGGAGCCACTTAGGAAAGTGGTGTGACTACTGCTAAAACTTTCCTTCGCCTCTGTAAAGCCCATGTATGGTAATGTGTCAAAGGGCTAGCGCTATGCTTTTTGTCTACATTGATATATTCTGCCTTCTTGGAGTTCTACATAGCGGTGTTCCTCTCGGATGAATGGTTGTATGTACAGAATGAAAATGAGCTTAGATGCCCTATGCTTGAGTGGAAACGATTTATTAATTCAAATAGCCTACCTCCATTCCTAAAGTCTTCTAATGCTACCAAACTTCAGTCTCTTGAATTCCATGAAATCTCGAAAGGCTTATGACTGATTTATTCGCAAGTTTGTTGTGGCACCATTTTCTCCATGTCGAAGTTTGATTCGTTCTGCCCTGATAACACTTTGAGTGGCTTTATTTGGTCAAGTTCTGCAGCACGTCTCCGAATATCAGACTTCTTTTGAGTAGAAGATGAATCGTGCTCAGAAATCTTCTGTGGGATACTGACGGGAATTGCTTTGGTCCATCGGGAGTAAAGATCGTCTGGGAGCATCTTCTTTCTCTCAGTCTTCTTGACGACCAGTTTATCTTTTAGAGGATCGTAATGAATCGTAGAACTCCCACCCCAACCCCTGGTCACTCGAAGGATGCGATTAATGAGTGCAACGAGTCTCTTGATATCATCTTGGTGGGTTTTCTCCCAATCCTTCACTGCGGCAGTCATATCTTCCACTTTCGGCGTCGAGAATGTTCCACGTTGGTGATAAGCACGGACAAGCTTGGGCGTCTGGGAAACCCAGAGCTGAGGCGCAACTTCCGGCAGCTCCAGAGGTTTGTGGGAAACGCGAGTTTTGATCTCTAGGGTTGATTCCCGTGGTACTACCCGACCTTCCTTCTTGATGGTCAATTTAGACTGAACGGGGGTCTCGTCAATGGAGGTGGTATCCGGCGAGAGGGACAATGATTCTAACATGTTTGCAATATTGTTCCTTGTCGACTCGTCATTCTTTACAGCAGGCTTCAAATCCCCAACGTAGCCGTCTGTCTCATGGCGCACGAGGAAACCCAGACCACCCAGTCGGTATGAAACGATGCGGTGGTGCCCGGTGCTGCCTCTAACCTGATTGATCGTGGATGCTTTCTCGAATTCATGACCAAAGCCTCGGAATTCGCCTGGCCCAATCACTTCGTAGGTGGCGGTCTCGTCACGGCAAAATATTGCAGTCCGAGCGGTCATACCCACCTGGATGGTGAATGGATCGAGCCCATTTTTGGTAAAAGTGGGATTGATAAACGACAGAAGTTTGCGAATGTTGTTTCGGTCGGTCACGACGTCGATTGAGTTAATGTCGAATGAGGGGTGCTCAATGTAGAGGGAGCGAAACAACGGTTCCAGAGGGCTATCGGGATGACGAGCAGAATTTTGGGCAATATAAACAAGGCCGCTATCCTTTTTCACCCGTCGGGACCCTTGTGGAGCAGACCACTGGGCTGGACTGCCTGGGACAGCGATGGTGGGCGTGGATGCTTCAATCCAGTTATAGGAAGCCAGGTGCTTCACATCAGTAATGATGGCTTCGGCTGGAGCGGAGGCTTTGAGGTTGAGGCGGGAGATCTCCACGAGCTCCTCGGAAGCTGTTTTGGAGTCTGGCATACTATAAATCTAGTAGCCTGAAAATAGAAGGTATGGCAAGATCGGTTTGCTTGGGCCTTGGAAGAGGGGTATAACCGCATTATAAGCCACCGGGTTGTGGATTCTACTCTAAGGAATCTCTAATCTTCCAGACCACTTAATCTTTATCATCCTTCCGCTTGTGCCCGCACCTACTGTCAGGGATGTATGCTAGCAGTGGGATACAAGACATCTGCGCCGCAATATATAAACAGCTACGTACATAGAAAATGCTGTAAGAAACCGGTGTCTCAGGGCCGTCTTTCAGGCCTAATTGGCTTTCTGAGCCAATCCATAGGAAGTCTCCATGCGGCAAATTTCTGTTAGGCCTTTATTGGTATACCGACTCGGTCGCAGTCAGAAGCCATCCTTTACTCTGTAACCTGCAGGTCTGTCGGAAGCTAAACAAATCACATTCGAACACGTTTTGAGTGGTCGTAAGCAGCCGCGCATTGCATGCTGCCACGCTAATCCTGACATAAGTACATTTTGGCGGTTTCTCGTCGTAGACTCTTATCTCCGTCCCTCCTTTGAGGCTTTCGCCTGTTTCTTGCACTGCTCTGAAATCCCCCGAGAGTGCTCTGGAAGTGATTGTTTGGCACTCTGGACGCTCCCAGAGCGGGCCGGGCTCTATAGTGCCTGCCCTGGAACGTCAAATATGCTCCTTGGTCAATCAGGGAACAAATGACGCGAGATCCCCGTAGAGCAGTGGGGTCCGTCATTGGTAACCCGGGGCCCGCAAAGTGCTGTTTAATCAAGTCGCGTGAGCTGTATATGCTTATTCTAATTAGTAGAAAATGACAGGCATGTGTAATCGTGGAGCGCGAGAAGTCTTGGCGCCAATAATGGTATAGTTGCCCTAACACTGATCTGAGTGGCATAGATGGATGGCTGAGCAAACACTCTAATAAGCTATAATTATTACTTATTATAATATCCACGCCCGTCTTTGGGGACTATACCTGGCCGGCAATATTAGTTCTCGCGAGTATCACTTGAACCAAATGTGCAGAATATGTATTCTCGCACAAGCTTTATCGTCCAGTCAAGACAGAGACGTCAAGTTAAGGAACTTTGCGCTTATGTACTCAAACAACTTGCGACTACTCGACCATTCGGAGTCGCACATAGCGCTTTGCCAGTTCATGCACAACCGCGTCAAGTTCAAGCACGCCGGAGTCCCAGACCGAAGGGGATGTTCGGTCCAGCTTAACTGTCAAATGCGACGTCTCCGTTGGACATGAGCTATCGCTCATGTTTGAACAAAGCCAAGTTCTTATCGTCCCAGGCAGGGGCTTGGCCTTTAGTATTGGTAGCGTCAGATAGGAGGGTCCATAGTAATGGCAAATGCAACAACGGTAACTATGGACAACACGGTGAGTCACTGACTATCAAAACAGGAAATCAGAAGCCAGACGAGCAAGCCGGTCTTTTCAGTCTAGAGCCCCGAGACAGGCCCCGAAATAAGCCCCGAGAGGCTGAAAGGCTCCGATGTGTATTGCTGAACCTCCCCATTTTCGGGGCTCCGAGAGGGTCCAAGCTAGGCCCACAGATCCGAGATTAGCGTCAATCGGGCGCCGCAAAGGTCCACTAGCTCCACTTAGGGCGAGCACGTACAGTGTTACTGTACTCAGTAATATATACAGAGCAGGCCCATGGAAAGTGCACAGAGAATATACTAGTGAATACGCGGAGTAATAAGGAAAGGAACAAGACAAGATCATGAAAGGAAAATACGTGATCATGTGATCTCACCAGTAGATTCTCCCCCGGACCAATCACAACGCGGCTAGATAGACCGCCCTAAATGTTGAGTTCCCAACGAGATCCTCTATGACTCTGGTGTACTTTTACTACTGCTCTTCTCTTCTCTTTCTCTCTTCTCTATCATGGTCTCTCGCCTACAGACACCATGGCGGGCAAAGTACACATCGCAGACACCCCCCTCACCCGTGGTAACTGGCACAAACATGTCAATTGGCTCAACACCTTTTTCATCCTGGGAATTCCCTTGTACGGTTGCATCCAGGCCTTCTGGGTGCCGCTGAGGCTCAGTACCGCTGTCTGGGCTGTTCTCTACTATTTCTTCACTGGATTGGGCATCACGGCTGGTATGTACCCTGAGGGCACAAGAGAGCACAAGAGATGATTCATTCCCTGACTGTCTACTAGGATATCACCGTCTATGGGCCCACTGCTCCTATTCCGCGACTCTTCCTCTCCGTATCTGGCTCGCGGCCGTTGGTGGTGGCTCGGTCCAAGGCTCGATCCGCTGGTGGGCACGTGGCCACCGGGCTCATCATCGCTACACGGACACGGAAAAGGACCCCTACTCGGTTCGGAAGGGCTTCCTCTACTCGCATCTCGGTTGGATGGTCATGAAACAGAACCCCAAGCGGATTGGACGGACAGACATTTCTGATCTCAACGAAGATCCGGTTGTGGTCTGGCAGCACCGTAACTATATCAAAGTAGTCTTGACCATGGGTCTGGTCTTCCCCATGCTGGTGGCAGGGCTTGGTTGGGGTGACTGGTGGGGTGGCTTTATCTACGCAGGCATATTGCGTATCTTCTTTGTTCAGCAAGCCACCTTCTGTGTCAACTCATTGGCTCACTGGCTTGGTGACCAGCCGTTCGATGACCGGAACTCTCCTCGTGACCATGTCTTTACCGCACTGGCTACTCTGGGCGAGGGATACCATAACTTCCATCATGAGTTCCCATCAGACTACCGCAATGCGATTGAATGGCATCAATATGATCCCACCAAATGGTCCATCTGGGTGTGGAAGCAGCTTGGCCTGGCATACAACCTGAAGCAGTTCCGTGCCAACGAAATCGAAAAGGGCCGCATCCAACAACTCCAGAAAAAGGTCGATCAGAAGCGCGCCAAACTCGACTGGGGCATTCCCCTGGACCAGTTGCCCATCATGGAATGGGACGATTACGAGGAGCAGGCCAAGAGCGGCGGTCGTGCTTTGGTGGTCATTGCCGGCGTTGTTCATGATGTCACCGACTTTGTCAAGGATCACCCTGGCGGCAAGGCTATGATTAACTCCGGCATTGGCAAGGATGCGACCGCCATGTTCAACGGTGGTATCTATTACCATTCCAATGCGGCTCACAACTTGCTATCTACTATGCGTATTGGCGTTATTCGTGGCGGTAGTGAGGTTGAGATCTGGAAACGCAACCAGGTCGAGGGCAGCAAGTACATTCGCGATGGATCGGGCCAACGCATCACTCGCGCCGGTGAGCAGATCACCAAGATGCCGGCGCCTACACCGACTGCGGGTGCCGCATGATCTTCTCTTCTGTATTCTATTTAACGGTTCTAACGCATTTGTGGCGTTTTTCAAGTGGGTTCAAATTCGAATTTTCGGGGTCGGGGTTAGCCATGTATTTTTTGAAGAAAATTTTCTATAGCTTTTGCTGCATCTATTACTTCATATGAAATAAGTTCTTGGTTAGACATTCAAATCTACAATACCTACTATAGCCCTGTTTATTGGACTTTCTGTGCCTTGTCTGAACATCTGACTGGGTCTTTCATTTCACCCACTTCCAGTTGCATCAGCTTGTTTGACAAAGAACCACTCACAAATGCTCTAGCCCTGGATAATGGAGTCGGTCAAAGGTAGCTAGAGGGAGTAGACTTAAAAAGAGTGAGAGACTTTGACTCATCTGTAGTTGATAACTGAAGCGAGTGCTTATCCTCTGCATTGGAAGTCTCCTGGTACTAGTCCGTTCAATTCTACTGCTGTCTTATCAAGGACGACCCTTCCAATCTGCTCCGGCCATAGACATAGAATGTAGATGGTTACTGTTTTTGCGGTATTCGTTCGTGCTGTAAAGCCGTAGGTTGCTGAAAGCTTGTCTATGGACTCATTTCAATTTCATGGTTTCTCTGAGCCAGGTTAGGGTACACATCCCCAATTACAAGGCAGTCCCTTCAGGGAGGTTCAATTCCAGATAGCCTAAGATAAGGAACGACTTCCAAGTCAAGTGCGGTAAATATGAATCACTTAATTGGATCTGGCGTGACTAATATTGAGAGTCCGGATTGCATTTTGCTGCGTTGATGAGCTTGATATAGGGAAATGCCAGATGGAATGAGGTGAATGTTGGAGGCAGGAAGAAATGAAGCTGACAATGCTATTATTGAAAGACAGTAAATTTTTCAAGGATGCGGGCTTTTTATACCATTCTCCTAAACTGCAATCGCTCGGCCAAATACTCAGCTCAGCTATGACGAAGATGCATGCTCCATAATCCCACGGGACAATAATGTCGGTCAGATAATTGTTCAGGAACTAACACTATCCATCTATCAACATGACATTCCCTCTCAATAACCAGTCAGAAGCTCCTCAATATCCGCAATATCAGACGCGTTGCGACTTTAATCTATTGTACCACATACCATGGCCATAGAGACCTTTCCCAGCAATCATCAACCAGCCAGTGATTCAAAGGAACACTATCATAACCATCAACGAGCTATTGGCATCCACTTATGAAGTACTGAGTTGTTCTTAGGCAGATACTGGTTGAATTGTAGAGGGCACCCGGACAAACACATCAATGTAATGACCTACCCAACCTGCATGTCCTATCTATCTCGTGCCCGCCTACTAGAACAGACACAACATCAACAAACAACCACCATCTTTCAATCAGTCAAACGGAATCAACCAAGCAAGTAACAACTCAACATCTCATATAACATACATATCTATCGTGAATCATTAGTCGTACATTGTATATCCCCCTTCATCTCCACGCGACTGTGGCTACTAAGATTAATGCTGATAGATGATAAACAAAAGCAAAACGAAGTGAACAGGATCATGCGCCACCGAGAATCAATGCGCGCGCTTGTTTGGGTTCCGTGCCGAGAACGCTAATGAGGTATTCAATACTGTACCATATATTAGAAAATGTCGATAGACTTAGGTAATAGAGGGTTGAGGGGAGGGGGAAGGGAAGGGCATACCTAGCCTCCGACATCAACCTCTTCCTTTCCTTCTGGAATTCCGCCTGGCAAGACTCCCACGTGGCAGCGCGCTCACTCGGTAACACAGTCTTTATGCGTAGTTTGAAAAACGCACTAACAGGCCGGTGATCCGAAGCGCGGACTTCATGCCTTCGATAATCCAACTGCTTTATCCTCCCCAACCCCCGATAAAGCACGCGATCACACCACGCAGGAGACCGCTTCTTCTCACTAGAATCGTAATCATCAGTACCAACGTCATACTTGTACGTCGGGGCAAAAGTAATCGGTGCCTCGTTGAAAGAACGCAGTCGGAAACCAGGGTTCTTGCGGCGCGAGGCGAGGAGTTGGTCACGGTCGAGGAGTTTGGGGAGGTTATTTTGGCGGACGGCGTCGATAATCACGTTGCGGGGGATAGAGTCGATGCGGTAGTTGAGGTCGCCGTTCAGGATGCAGACTTCGTGGTCCATGATCATGGAGCCGTCGCCGCCGCTGACGAAGTGGTCTGCGCGGGCTGTGAGGCTGGTTTCGCTGGCGAGGCATTCTGCCTCTAAGATGGCGGCCACATCGTTGTTGCGCTGGGCTGTTTGCGTTTGGCCGGCTGCTAAGTGGCAGTTCACGAAGCAGAGGGAGCTGTCGTCGAGGATGAAGCGGAGGATCAGGGCGCCTTTGTTGCCGTGCAAGCCACCCATACCACGCTTTACCTCTGCGGCGCGGACATTCTTGATTCGCTCACGTTCTTTGTGTCGGACGAAGACGCAGGTGAAAAGACCGACCATGTTCGCCGTGTGCAGCAGGACATACGACTCGTCAAGCGGCATGCAGTCATTAACGCACCGTGTCAAATGCTCAGCCCACACCCGGTATTGACGACTCATATGCTCTTTCTCGCCAGCTTCCTTCTTTTCTTTCTTTTTGCTGCTTTTGAGAAGGCTCTCTGGGCTTTCGTTAGCAGCAACTCATAATGTAGAAGCATTGGGAAGAAGTACTGGCAGTGATCTTCTTATCTTCAAGATCAACAAGTTCCTGGAATCCAAACACCAGGATCCCCGGCGGATCCTCGGGATGAATCGCATCCTGAATGAACGTGGACATGCGCACGCTACCCGGTGTCGAAGCACCAGCATTCCACGTCATAACCACGGCACGTATCTCACGGAACTTGCAGAATTCGACATCCCTGCTTTGCATTCGAGATTCTACTGGAGTTAGCAACCTATCTTCAAACCGGAAAAGGGACAACATACCCAACCAATCACTCTCCAACGTTCCATCCCAAAGCCGAATACAATTATCCGTGCCCAGTGACGTAACTTGCAGCCGGTTCATCGTCCACACGCTACTCGTATCAAGAATGAAGTTGGAGACTGGACTATCATGTGCCTTCCAGTCTTTCTTCACTGCCCACGGGTTCGAGTTGACGTCGTACACATAGATCATACCGGTCTTGTAGCCTGCCCAGAGATAATCCCCGACGACGCTTAGACAGTTGATCTTGTAAACACTCACGTTGACAACGGCCAAGCATGAGTAGTCTTTGGCAGAGTACACGCTGATCTTTCCATCTGCATGTCCGAGATATACCCGTCCGCCGTTCTTGGTCGTGTAAGCACCTGAAGTAACCTCGCCTGCATTCTGCGATACGAGTGGTTTCCGAAGAACCTTGAAAGAAGCATCGTCGCGCGCATACGGTTGGTACACGTGGATGTCTTTACCAGTAGCCAGCCAAAGTTCATCACCCACAACCATCGAAAACGTTTGTCCACGCGCAACGCGGTCATAAGGGTTATGGTAGCTGTATTGAAGATTTGGGACACCAGATTCATCAGCGGGCCAGATAAGCAACCTCCCCTCATCGTCCATCGTCCACATTTCCTTATTGTGTCGCAGAATCTTGATCACCTCACGACGCGATGGGTATGATCTCGATGCGACCACAGCACGAGTTGCGATATCGACTTCATGTAGTTCTCCGCTGTTAGTACCCAGCCATACCCGTCTCCCTTCGTCTTCGAGGCCTGCGCCGGGCTTGAACGCCATAGACAGCGTCTTGACGGTTTCACCATGGCTCAAGCTCATGATTTGTTCGCCATTTGTCAAATCCCAGACTCGTGTCAGATAACCGGTCGTACAGACGTATTTCCCACACACGTCCATGAGGCGCGTGTCATATCTCGTAGAAATCTCGTTCGGCCCAATCTTAATAGCAGGCGGTCTCCGATTCGCATTAGAGGCATCGGGGTAGTCTGTTAGAGTGATAGTCGGCTGACTAGGATACTGTTCCTCCTCGTCTTCCGTATCAGGGCGGGGACGAGGTTGCGGTGGGTTCTGGGGCGGCGGAGGTGGTTGTCCACGATCGTAGGATGGTTTGTTTTCGCGGGAATAAGAGGGTTGGCGATGAAGTTCAGATGGGCGTGCAGGCTGCTGGGGAGTAAGGGGTTGTTGCTGGGGAATAGGTTCGAGCGGTCGAGGAGACGATACAGGGAAATCGGCATTAGCCGTTTGTCGCGATGGAGACGGGTTTGCGCGTCGAGGAAGAAGCGGTTGTGGGGGTTGTTGCTGTGCAGGAGACGGGTACTCTGCATTCGACATTTGTCTCGACGGTGACCGATTCTGCATAGTCTGACGCCCAGGAGATGGACGTCGAGGTTGTGGTGGGGGCTGATGAGGAGACGTCACCGGTAAATCTGCGGGCATCTGCCTCGAAGGAGACACCCTGCGACTCTGTACCGACGCACGAGGGGGCAGCCCCGGACGATCCCCTGGCATATCACTTGTCGCCTGCAATCTCTGCGCGGACTGCGGTACGCTCGACATCGGTTCTGCCTGTCTCTGCTGGCCAGTTGGAATCTGCACCGTCAACGGTTTCGTGTCTCGCGAAGGTTCCCGCTGGGGCGGGGGCGGTCTCCGATTAAACCCAGGCTCTCGCGCATCCTGCGCCAGTGGCGAATGTACACCTGCCCTTTCTTCAAACAATCGCTGAGCAGGAGATTCCGTCTCCGATCGAACAGGACGAGGCGGAATAGCCTTGGGCGGCGATTTCTCCGGACTACTCGGAGGCGTGCTAAACGGCGACACACGAAGATCAGAGGAAGCCCGTTTCGTCCTAGGAGCAGCCAGCGTATTCGACTCCTGGAACGCAAGGTTGGAAGGTTTCACCGGGATCTTAGGCTTGTCAGCGCGGTTGGCGGGCGGCGGCAAGGAGGCGCTCTTGGCCTTGCGATCCGACGGACTATCCCGCATCGCAAATTTCGCCGAATGCAACTCCCCGGGAGATAGATTGCCTGGAATATTCGAAGTGGGTGTTCCGGCGACAGAGCTGCGAGACAGCCGCGGGGGTAGTGACTCCTGGGAAGCCCCCGTATCCAGGCCCAAGCCCTGCGGATTGCGCGAAACCCGATTCCCATCCTCGGCCAGTTCGTCTGGCGATTCAACGAGTCCCCGCGGCGGAGACCGTGGCGAGTCTACCGTCAACGTCGGAGCCAACTGCGGCGAGGACTGGAAACTCAACGACATAGGACGGCCATGTCGTCTCCCGGAAGAGCCATTGGCACGCGATGCCTCCCCATTAGCAAAACCCCCTGTCCTGTGCCTATACAATTGATCAGGTATCTGCTGCGCATCCGCCTGTTGCTGCGGCTGCGGTGTCCAAGGCGAGCGCGGACGGGCCAAGTCCACGGAGGCACGAGAGAAATGGGAGCGGAGATCGTCATCGCGCGGTTCGGGGCTCTTTAGGAGAGACGAGTCGCGGGTGTTGGGAGTAACTGCGGAAGAGGACCTAGTATGGGAGAGGTTTTCGAAATGCGAGAGGAGTGAGGAGACGGGTCTCTGTTAGATAAAGTTAGTGACATGACAGACAGGGTACATGACAGGTGATTGATGCATGCGACGTACAAGGGGAGCATTGTCGGTGTTATCTTTATCCTTGTTTCCCTCCATGGCCACCACAAGTCCGGTGAGACGGCTCAGAGGGCATATGCTGTGTTTGAGTAGTGGTTGTTGTAGTATGAGTAGTGGTTGCTGTTGTAGAGGAATAGAGGATAACAATGTAATAATAACAGCGGAGCAAGCGGAGGCGGTCAGGAGAAGGAGAAGTGCTCTATGCTCTATGGAGAAGAAGTATGAAATAGGAGAGAAAAGGAGAGCAGTAGTCGGTAGTGGTAGAAAAAGAAGTAGTAGAAGTAGTAGTAGTAGTAGTGGTGGTAGTGGTAGAGAGTGAATCAAAGAACAGGTTACTATCCGTGGCGCGAGGCAGCGGCATAATGTAAGCAGCCATTTTATACAGTTCGTGCCTATAATCATCTTGTCTGCCCCAGAAAATACCCAACTGTCGCCTACGGAGTACTGTCTATATTTGTTTTTCCACTAATTCCGTATCTATTGGCACCCTTAGCGCTTTCTACTTCTATACCACCCTGGTCCGGACAAAAAAAAACCTCCCACTCATCTCTACCAAGCGCCTCTGCACCAGTCGCAGTTCAACACCATGTGGTACGCTCTCTCTTCCTCAGGAACTCCCCTCCTATCATTCGTATCACAGTATACTAACAACAGCAGCAAACACATCCTCAACGCCCAAGTCGCCATCCGCTCTCCATGCTGTACGCCCTTCATCCACCTACCCCCTCTACAACCACAACCACACACCTAAGCGCCAACTAATCCTTTACTCTTTCAAAAACGACAGGCCGCAAATGGTTCGACTGCGCAGAATGCCACTTTGAACAGGAACCACATGCTCTCGCCAAGTCCCCTGAGATGGTACCCACCCCGTTGTCTCCCTGCGTCTCAAGGGTCTACACAGAAGGATATATATGAATAGAAACTGACAGGTGTAGACATTCGCCTGCAAAAAATGCAAAAAATGCTTCCGCAAAGATGCCGCCGAGTTCGAGGAAAGCGACGAATATTGTCCCCACTGCGATAACCATTTCGTGCTTGAGGCTAAGACGCCCAAGCCCGCGTTGCAGGTTGAGGGTGATGATGCGCGGATGGATAACAGGTACCCCTTCCCTCTTTCTATGTTATAAGAGGGTGTGCTAATGTGTGTAGGATGCTCAAGGATGATCGGGTGCATCTGCCGGAGGAGAAATCCATCTTTAATTTCAAGGATTTGTCAGATCGGATGGGTTAGATTGTTGTGTGAGTGGGTGTGGGTTACGATGAGACGATTATATCCTTCTTTGACATTTCTGGAGATACTTATTTAGTACTGTGATATAGCTGTATCATATTAAATTGTGACTGTTGAACTGGCAGTATCAAGCATAGACGATTTCATTGACGCTCTGAGAACATCTAATTCAAAAACAAGTGCATCATAGATATCCCGTATCTCATCCATTTAACAATGTCTACTCAGCAGACCGACCCGACTCCCCCGTCTCCCCACCACCAGGCCGCGTCAGAATAGCAGCCGTAGTAGTACCCGTCCGACCTGTCTTCTTCTTCGCCGCCTCCTCCTGCTTCTCCGCCTCTATGTTCTTCACGTACGTCTCGATCTGGTCATCGGGGAGCATCTCGATCGTCTTGCCGGCGGACATGATAGCCACCTCGATGTTCTTGGCGCCCGTCTGCACGACTTCCAGCAGCGACTTGATAGTGAGAGCGATGGTCTGCTCGCGGTCCATATCTTCGACGTGGTTGCGTTCGAGGAATTCGCGGACCGTCTTGCTCGAGCGGCCGATGGCGTTTGCTTTCCTGTTCGTTGTCAGCCCCCGCTTCGCCTTATTCCAGAGCCAAGAAAACATACCAAGCAGAATAAATCCCCGACGGCTCCGTCAAATACAATCTCGGCACTTCATCATTCGGATCGAACCCAGCAAGCAACGTGCTAATCCCAAAAGGCCGAACACCCCCACTCTGCGTATACCGCTGCTGCACACTCGCAATATGCTTCGTAATATACTCCACACTAACGGGGTCCTCGACGGTCAGGCGGTGCGACTGGGCTTCGAGACGGGCTTTGTCGATGAGGATGCGGGCATCGGCATTGAGGCCGGCGAAGGCCAGGGTAACGTGGTGGTCGAGGACGGCGATTTTGGAGGGCGTGATGCGGGTGTCTTGGAGTTTGAGGGCGGAGCGTTTTTCGCAGCCGATGACGACAACATCTTTTCCTTTTACGCCGACGGCGCAGGTTCCTGGACTCTTAGTTTGGGTGTTTAATGGATGGGTTGGAGTGGGTGGTACCTCTCTTGACGGCTTCCATGGCGTATTCAACCTGGAAGACGTGCCCGTCGGGGCTGGTTTTGTTAGGTCATATTCAGCATAATTCAGTGATTGCTTCATACCTGAATACTGCTCATTGTTAGCTTCTAAGCTCATGGTAAGATACTAGCTAGCTAGCTAGTAGTACCAGCATCTGACGTACCTGAAAGAGCTCGGTCATATCCGGACATTATGGGCTAGAATTCAGAAACAGGGACAACAAAAAGCAACAAGAATAAGACTTCGTGTGCTGAGGATCTAAGATAAGGTGGATGAAGGAATGAGAGGTATCGTGGTGGTGAGGATCTCCGGCCTGCTGGCGATGACGGATCCAGGTGTCCCGCGGCTCAGAGCTCCCAAGCGCTAGCCGCGCGGCTACAGAGTCTTGTCAGGTCAGTAGATTCACAGCCATGTATGAATTGTTATTGATGCTCGTAGGATGAAGAGGCTGTAATTGCTCTGTTATTCAAAAGAACTGTCAAACAATGCAGAGCGAATACGCAATGTACACTCATCACAGTGGAAAATACAAACCAACCTCTACGGAGTACTCCAGAGAAGTAAAGATATTCAGAAAGACATATGGACATTGAATACAATCTTATGTTCACTCCCGAAATTCACATCGCCTCAGCAGAGAAATACTGCGCTGTGTTGAAAACAAACCAACCTGGCCCAACACCTACCATGACCTCCGATGATTTCGGTTCCTTTGTAGACAAGACAAAAACATGAACAAAATATATCTAAATGCAAGTCGAGACATGCTAAACTTCCTCATCCGGTCTTCCATGCGCAGAAATGTCAGAAATAAATAGAACAAAAAAAAAAAAAAAAAAAAAAAAAAAAAAAAGAATGAAATGAAATGAAACTCCATCACCAAACAAACCCTACCCTCCGAATCCAAACAAGACAGGGCGATGAAAGACATAAAAACCCAATCAAAGAATTGATGTCGAAAGCGCCTTTGCCAGCCCACACCCCCCTTGCGTTTTGTTGCTGTTCCCAGGAGGGTCTACCCTTAGGCCCTCAAAACAGTTCGCTGGAAATAGTAAAACATGCCCAAATTTGAAATCAAACATAAAATAAAAGACCCAGAAACGATGACACGCTACCAGCCTGCTCCTCCCAACCGAAATGCACCAGAACGGCAAAATTTCCTTATACAAACAGCGTAGTATCGACCATCAACATATATCGACAACAATTCCAATCCATCCGTATTGACATAAACCAACGTGACCGAAAGACAAGAAAGGAAGAATAGATATGGTTCTCATTACTGCGTCATCCCGGTTTTAAACGTTTAAGCAGGAGACTTGTTAGCACCCGCACCGTTCCGGCGGGCGTGAGCATCGTCCGCAACGGTCAACCCACCGAGACCGGTGGAAAGGAAGGCGAACGGGTCACTGCCATCGTTGCCGTAGAAAGCACCGTTGGAGGCGCTGGTGGGGGCACTGTGATCAGCGCTCGTGAAAGCAGCTTGAGCGGCGGGGTTGGCGAATGAAGCGGTGGAGTGAGAGTTGGCAGAGCCGTAACCAGCGCTCATCTGGCCCATAGGAGGGTAGGCGGCGCCAGGGCCGCTGCCCAGACCAGAGGGCAAGGCGTAGTTGCTGGGGGGAGCACCGAACTGCTGGTTAAAGCCACCAAACGCACCGGCCGCAGAAGCGAAAGGAGCAGGAGCCGGAGTGCTGGCCATCGAGTTAGGACCCATACCGAAGCCAGAAGGAGGGTCCATCGGAGACGGGAAGGCCGAGTCGGCGACCACGGCAGCACCCGAACGCGGAGCACCGCAACGCAGACAGTTGATGTTCTTGGCAAAATTGTGGTAGCCACAGCCCTCGGAGCCACACTTCCAGTCACCGGCACGGAAGGGAACAACACCACCGTTGCCGCCCATACGGCCGCCGTGACCCATTCCGTGACCACCACCACCACCGCCGCCACCACCGTGCATGTGAGGAGGCATCATCGACGGAGGGCCGTAGCCGTAGGCACCATATCCAACCGGGTCGGGAGCAGCGGCCATAGCGGGGAACGAGCAGCGGAAACAGGCGGTACGACGCTGGAAGTTGGAGAAACCGCAAGACGGGCAAGTCCAGTCACCGGGACGAGGACGGTTCTTCGACGGAGGGAAGGGGGTCAGGATCTCGGCAGCACGGTCCAGAACACGGCTGGAGGAGGGGGAGACTTCGATAGCCTTTTCGTTGAGAGCACGACCGTTCATGCAGAGGCTTTCAGCGGCCTATGATATGTTAGCGATGGCAGCGGGGCCAGCGGAAAGAGATGCATTACCTCCTCATGAGACGAAAAGACGGCAAATCCGGTGCCGGTGGGCTTGTGCTGATCAGGCGTCCGCAGAGTCCAGAAGGCAATGGGACGACCACCAAACTGAGTGAACCAGCTCTCCAACTCCGACTGAGTAGTATCGTGGGGCAGACCGCTGAGGTGCAAGACCTTGCTGCGCTCAGCCAGGAAAGCACGGACATCGGCCCGGGCATCCATAGGACGGGTGAGGATTTCGGGGTGCTCATGCGGGGGTTGAGACTTGCGGATCAAACCGCGGAGGACACGGGCGAGGGTGATGGACTCCTCCATAGCGCGGCGGGGGGAAGCGGGGGCCAGAGCCTGCAGGTGGAAAGGCAGGTTGTGCTTGATCGGAGCGGAGGACTGGACGGGCTCAACTTCGAGAGCGGCACAGATGTTGGCGAGCGAGCTGGGGCCAAAAGGCAGCGACTCGGGGTGATGGGTCTGCCATCTCTGGTACTCGGTACGGAGGTCAAAGGTGCGCGAGTGCTGGAGGTAGGGAGGCAGGACGACGGCCTTATCGCGGGCCTCGCGGGGCAACTGGACACGGAGATCCCAAGAGTCAAGGGTGACGAAAGCGAACTCGAGATTCTTGCTGATGAGGTGTTCCTGGGCAAAAGCGTCGAAACGGTTGATGGCATCGCGGAAAGTACCTGCCGAGCGGACATGCTCCCAAGTCAGAGTGGTCAAGCTCGCTGTCAGGAGGCCGTCAGCCATTGAACCCGCAGATGACCGTGGAAGAGGTATACATGGCATAGAAGAAGACTTACTGCAGAGGGGAGTAATGGGCGTGTTGACGGGCTTGACGAGGACGGATTCGCGGTGCAGCTGTTGGTCAGGGGTTAGCACATTCCAACCTTCAACATTCCGATCACTGATCAATTGCATCTCCAATTGAAAGACATACCTCATCGCAGGTCTTGGTGTCCAGCAGCATCCACCCCAATTCAATCACCTCTGCAGAGTCCTTTGTGACGTAGACACCATGTTCATCGCAGGTGGTCGCGACGTGGATGACAATGTAGCGGTCCAGCTTGGGAGTGGGAGACGAGATGGACATTTTTGTAGGATTAGGTGAGGATAAGAGAAGAGAGAGAAAGATCTAGGAGATAGAGACGAAGAGAAGAAGACACTTGTCTATCTGTCGTTCTCTGCTGTTCTTCAGGCTCTCTGTCTGGCTGGCTGTGGGTTGACTGAGGCGACACAAATCCACGACGGAGAAAAAAGAAGAAAAAAAGAGTCGTGGATTAAGTGGGTTGAGTGGAATAAGTGAACCCAACGAAAGAAACAGAAGCAACAAATAAAACAATAAAAGAAGCAAACCCAGCGTAAAGAAGAGAGAGAAAAGGTAAGAGAAAAAGAGGGGAGAAAAGAAGGAAAAAGAAACGAGGAAAAATCGTTCGTTCGGGAGGAATTGAGGTGGACCGAGTAGTAATCACCAACACAAGTAAGTATATATAAACATATATATAGACAGTGGACTATTATGCTAGCTAGAATTGATTGGGTCTTTTCTTTTCTATGGATTATACTGTGGTATATGGTATACAGAGTACTCATAGTATGTTGACTGCTCAAGAGGTGTAAGTATACCGGAGGACCACGGAGCATACGGAGTACTGAGCACAGTACAATACATCTACACAATACATCTACATACGATTGATCGCTTTAGTTTATTCCATCTTGTCCGTCTAATTATTACAGTCATGTATCTTACATAGTACATGTACATGTACTCGTGCTAATGCCAATCCCTGCCATCTGACACCTGTGGCATCATGCAGCGAGATATGTACAAGCAAGTCTAACTGACTCGACAGATCTATTATGATAGTATTTAATTGACAATTCAGGGGGAGCACGAGGAAAAAGAAAAGAAAAATGTTCCTCGTCAGTTCCCTGGGTCAATCCGTGCCATCCAAAGGATCTTCTCCACTGACAGCGGAGAATATACAGAATACGGACTGAAGGATATATAGCGCAGTATCATAGACTAGATATATTCAATAACCATATATACCAGAATGAAAACACAACTCCAACCCAAATAAACATAACCATCATCAATCCATTACTACCAAGCAAACAACGCCATTCAACCCAAAACACAGAAAATTACTCATCCTGAACCTCCGACTTGACAATCGTCCCCCGACTATCCCCCTCCTCCTCCTCCTCCTCCTCCTCGATGATACTCGGCTCCAAAGAGAATTTCCGTCTCGCCAAGCCCGGCTCGATGGACGGCCGTACACTCCCAGACCTCACACTGCTCGCTCCAGATTTGACACTCATCATATCACTATCACCTTCCTCCGTACCTTCACGCGCCATCCTACTCGGGACCCGGATACCCTGTGCCGTCGCGAGCAGTTTGAGCACCGAGTTCTTAGCCTTGACCAAAGCGTTGCGACCGGTTGCATCACCGGCAGCACCTTCTTCGATGGCCTGATCGAGGAGTTCTTTGACTTGCTGTGCGAGTTCGATGTTCTCCTGTGTGATTTCGCCGTTGCTGCGGGTGCTTGTGCGGAATTGATCGTCACCTTCGGGGGGGCGCGAGCCGGAGCGGGATGGCGGTGGTGGTGGAGGTGCAATGTAGAGTTTGCTCATGAGGGAGAAGAGGAGTTTGCGCTCGTCCTTGGAGCAGCGGTTGGTGCCGGCGCTGATGCCCAGAACACGTTCCAGGATGTCCTTTATCACGGCTAGGTGGACGAAGCCGCAGGCGCTGGAGCTGGCTGTACCGCCGATGAGGACGTTTTCTCCGCCCAGGCCGACAACTCGTCGTTCGTCAGTCCATTCTGCGAGCATGCCTAGGACACCGGTCATTAGTGTTTTGAGTTCGCGCTGCGCGATTGTCTCGTCGATCTCGCCGTCGCTGTCTTCTTCGGCTTCAAGCGAGTAATGCTCCTCAGCTGCGTTCAAGACAGTACGCACGACAGGGACTGTAACCCGCTGCATGTGCTGCATGTTTGTAATTCGCGAATGGGAGTATACAGGGAAGAAGTAGGCCAATGACTGTCGTAGTGCGGGGTTCCCTCGAGTCCGCGGATGGAAGAAGGAAACGACAAGGTTCAACAAGAGCGTCTCCACGGCTGCTTGGTTCATCTCCTGAATGGCTGGCGGGACGTTGGGTCCAGAAGGCGAGAAAGCGCTCGTGAGCAGTAGCTTCGACAAAGCAGTAGCAGCGCCCGTCTGCACATCGCTCGGGGAGTTGGCCCTAAGTGCTCGGGCAAACACCTTCAACAGGGGTTTCTGGAATGGCGGTGGGGACACGGTCTCGCCGTCTGGCTGAGTGACGGGCGCAAGCAACGTAGGGTGCGTCGTAAGCATATCGCAAAGGATGTGAATGGCTGTCACCTGCAAAGCATCGTGACCTTTGCTGTAGCAATGAATGAAGAGTGTCATGTTCTCGTCGGCCAGGGTCTGAACAGTTAGCATCACCTCAAGTGTCAAGGAATGAATGGAAGCCTACCTTATCAAGTAAACAGCAAAGACCCAAGCACTCCAAGCCACGCTCCCGAATGGGAGCCTCGTGACTCCGAACAGCAGGCACAACCAGGTTGTTCAACATAGTCACCAAGTTCATGTTTTGCTGCAAATTGCCTTCTACATTCTGCAGCATGCAAAGAGCAATGTGCAAGCACTTCATGTTGATGACAATCTCTTTGAGAACCTTAGCCTTAGCCTCATCCTTGTTAAAAGATGCCTCAGAAGCGGGCGTCTCAGACCGAGCACGGCTAGAGGCGTCGTCGCTAATTTCCGACCTGGCAGAGACAAAGCTGTCTTCGGTAGCGATGGTATCGTGGACTTCAGCGATGGCCTCCAGAACCACACTGCAGAATTCAGCCTCTGCAGACAGGTCAGGTCCGCAGACACATCTCAGGGTCTCGACGGCAAGCTTGGTGGTTTCTTCCGGGAGCTCGGGGATGGCCAGGGATTCTCGGAGTAAAGAGAACATCTTCCGTCGTCCCACTTCGTCACTGTAGTCCATGGTGATAGCAATGTGCAATAATTGCTCCACGACAAACTCTTGTTCCACACTGTCATCATCGTTTGCCTCACCACTCTCCTTGGCGGTCTTCTTTCGCTCCAAGAGCTCATTCAGGTACTTCTGAAGATAGTGTGCCAGAGCAATGACCTCGGGCATCTTGTCGTCAGCAAGGCTGTCGTATTTCCCATCATGCTCGACCCGACAGAAGTCGTTGAACGAGCGCAGGAGGAATGATGACTCTCCGTTCAGCGACTCCCAGTACGGCTCATCGAACACGACTGCCTCCCGGTAGTCTGGACGCCCCTCCCAGAAGCTACGCATAGCTTCATGGGCAATGCCAGACTCCATACCGGAATTCACCACGTCAATTCTCTCGAGCAGCTCGAGGAGTGCAGCAATGTTTGGTGGAGAGCGTTGTGGGGCACCAGATCCTCCTTCTGCTTCGTTGTTCTCCTTGTTTGTGCCAGCACAGTCCTCAATCCACCGGTCGTAAAACAGTTTGCCAGTAGCTTTCCGAACACTCTCGTCTCGATCCCGGAGACCCCACCGCAGCATCTTTTCTCTCATAGACAGGGAAAGATGACGGAAGTCGCCCAATGTTGGAAGAAGGCGAGAGTACAATGCGCGCCGTGTCGCAGAGTCGAGATCGCGAGCTCGTTCCAGTAGATACGGAAGGGTTCCCGGAGAAAGAGGCAAGTTGGTGAGTAGGGTCTTTCGTACATCGCCACTCGTATCATTCTGCATAATGTCGATAAGCTTCTCCAAGAGAGCACTGTTATCGTCGTTATCATCGTCCTCATCATTCCCTGCCAGACGCCCGAGACCCATGACCGCTTGCACTCTCACAGAAGGCTCCTTATCCCTGATACGCTTCAACAGGCCTTGGCGGATGGTGTAAAATAAGTCGTCGTCGATGCTGTCGAGCGAGTTGACAATAAGCGTGATTAACTGCGTAGCGCGGAAGCGCACGATTTTGTCCTTGGCTACCAAAAGCGGCGACACCACCGCAACAAGACTGGTCGCGAGACGCGCCGTCGGAGTCTCGGTAGAAACATCGTCGTCTTCTTCCAAAGCAAACAGCTCATTATCCTTTTCCGACGCATGTGTCAAGAATGTGCCGACAAAGCGCAGAATGCGATCACCGACAGGTTCTGTCTTCTTAATGGGGAGGATCCGTAGTACACATCGGCCAACTTCCACGTTGAACTCCTTCTCGGGATAGGTCTCTTCATTCGGCAGCGAGAGTTCCTCTTGCTCCTGGTTGTCCTTGGACTTCTTTCTCAATATCCCACAGGAGATCTCCTGCAATTTCCGAAGGCGAACAACTAGCTTGCGGTGTCCGGTTGTCGATCGTTGGGCGTCGGCGAAAATCGAACACACGTCCCGTCGCAAGTTGGGGGATGTTTCGGGCAATGGAGGCTCTTCTGGGATCACGAAAACAGGAGGCGCAGAACCGGCTCGTCCAGAGGGCTGGACGGACGTCTTGCGTGTAGCCGAGGACGTCGAACGGGCGGAGACGCGAGCGGGCATGGTGGTGTCGCTGAGGGGTAGTTTTCACTTGTCGTGATAGTTGTTGGGTGAATGGGATATCGACCACACTAATACCAACAATTCATCGCAATAACAATTCGTATATTATCGTTCAGCAATCCCAAATTTATCGAGACGGGAAGGACTGCGGCGTCGCAAGATGAAGCCGTGGTCGAGGTTGTCCTCAAAGAAGCCGCCGATAATCGACAAGTCACGGGGCGGCGGGATAAACAAACAGCCCAAACAGGCAATATCTTGATAAGGGCTAGGGCTGCACGTGTTGTGGTACAGACGTACCCTTCTATGCATTAAGTTTATCTATAGTGGTCATTACTTGAAAAAAAATATGTATTGCTTTTCAATTTATGACGTTCGACTCCATCTGATCCTCCCAAACATTGTAGTAATGCACGTCACGCCACTTTTCACGTGATGTCTGACTAACGCCGAAAACCGGGGCTCCGGGAATTGCCCGCCGCCGGGCTCTTGTTCTCGTCGGAGTCTACTGTGTCGTTCGATTGCAGGACTGGACAAAATGTTTCGCCAGAGTATTCGCCGGTTTGGCACCACGGCCCTCCGTGCTGCAGAGGGGTCTACCGCCTATGCTGTGCGAGTTTCGCAAGCCCAGGGCTCTGTCAATGGCTTGACAGAAGGTATGCGATCCCCTCATTTACCGGGAAGCATGGAGCAATGCTAACATACCCGTCCTACAACAGCAATTGGAAACACCCCCCTCATCCGCTTGAAGCGTATCTCTGAACAAACCGGCTGCAACGTCCTCGGTAAAGCCGAATTCCAAAACCCTGGTGGCAGCGTGAAAGACCGAGCCGCTCTCTTCGTCGTCAAGGATGCGGAGGAAAAGGGACTCTTGAAGCCCGGCGGTACCGTCGTCGAGGGCACGGCCGGTAATACGGGTATTGGTCTCGCCCACGTCTGCCGCTCCAAGGGCTACAAGCTCGTTATCTACATGCCCAACACCCAGTCGCAGGGCAAGATTGATCTGCTGCGTCTTTTGGGCGCGGAGGTCTACCCGGTCCCCGCGGTGGCGTTCGACAACCCCCAGAACTACAACCATCAGGCGCGGAGACATGCTGAGTCGCTCGATAATGCTGTGTGGACGAACCAATTCGACAACGTCGCCAACCGCCAGGCGCATATTGAGACTACGGGACCCGAGATCTGGGCCCAGACTGGCGGCAAGATCGATGCGTTTACCTGTGCGACTGGAACAGGTGGTACTTTCGCTGGAACCACGCGCTACCTGAAGGAAGTCAGTGAGGGACGAGTAAAAGCTTTTCTGGCTGATCCTCCGGGTAGTGTGCTGCACAGCTACGTTCAGAGCGGTGGTAATCTTATGGACCGGGCTGGTGGCAGTATTACTGAGGGCATTGGTCAGGGCCGTATCACGGAGAACCTCAAGCCCGATGTCGATTTGATCGACGGGTCGCTGAACATCAGCGACGAGAAGTCGATTGAGATGGTCTACCGCTGCTTGGACGAGGAGGGTCTTTACCTTGGTGCTAGCTCTGCCTTGAACGTTGTTGCTGCCAAGGAAGTCGCCGAGAAGCTCGGCAAGGGTCACAACGTCGTGACTGTTCTATGTGATGGAGCCTACCGGTATGCTGAGCGGTTGTTTTCCCAGACATGGCTCGAGAGCAAGAACCTACGCTCTGCTATTCCCAAGCATTTGGAAAAGTACATAGTGCTGCCTTAAGTAGTCATGTATTATGAAGTAAATAGACAGTTTCTAGATGCTATTTTAGGCGATCGTAATATTCATGGCCCTCCCGTATCCATTATATCCAACTCCCCTGAGATTCCACTGCGAATGCTCTTTCTGCACATTCCCTCCAGCATCAAACGCTCGACTCCAAATCTCTTTCCCTGTCCCAGGCTCTATATCAACTTCAGCTCTCCACAGCACCCAGCACCATTTATTTCTCTGTCCCTCACTCTTCCCGATCTCTGCATCCACCCAATTCTTCCCCCGATCCGTCGAGACCTGCACGCGCGTGACCGGGCCATCGGCCGCATTTGGTACTGCATACCCTTTCACCTCAACTTTCCCATCGCGCAACGTAACAGTCTCCTCGTCCGTCGGAACACCGATGACAGAGTTAATGGGTGTATCGTACATAGGCGGAGTACGGTCCCAGTGCGGTTCAGCGGACTCCTTATCGACAGCCTCTTCAGGAAGAACCTTATAATCGCGTTTCTGGTAGAAGTTGGTAGATTCATGATCTTGGATTGTGATTTTATCAAGCCATTTGACCCATCTAGCGCCCGCGATACCGGGGAGGACCGCGCGGAGGGGATAACCGTGTTTGGGCATTAGGGGCATATCATTCATTTCAAGTGCCAGAATGACATCGCCCCCATCCTCATCTTTCATAATCCTTTCAAGCGGCACACTACCCCCATACCAAGTATCATTTTGGGTCCTAACCTGGTAGCATGAAAATGCAGCATGCAAATTCTCAATCCTTCCGGTAATCCCACCTGCGCTCCGCAACACGTCCCTCAACTTCGGTCCCTTCCATTTACAATTCATCACTGCGCCATCGCCCCAATCTATTCCCTCGACTTCCCGTAGAAGAGTACGCATCGTGTGTCGTCTGTTCCCCGCGCATTCTAGCGCACATATTATCTGATATTGTGGGAATTCGGTTGCGAGCTGTTTCACGGACAAGGTAACTGGGGTGCGGACTTGGCCGTCGATGCGGACCAGGTGGTCTTCACCGGTGGGGAGATGGGGTATCGGGCCATGGTTTCTGTCATAGCTGATGTCTTGGGGAGTGTAGAAGCTGAATCGAGTTAGTAGGTTGGTAGCTAATCCGGGTAAAGCGGAGGAAGGATGATACCTATCCACTAGGTTTTTGGTCGGTGGTTCGCGATTTAGCGGTTTCTCGACGGAGTATTCGACTTGGTTAGGTCCATCCATCATAGTGCCAAGCAAAAATATCTCAATTGAACTGCAATGTGTTTGAGATGAAAGTCGAAATGTGGCGGGTTGGACACTACGTCATCGTAACGTGACATCGATCTGATAAGATATGCCCTAACTGTATAGTTGCGTCCCAGGACTAGCATACTAGATGGCTATGGAGACTTTTCGGTGATCGAAAGATAACCGAAAAGACATTAGCATATTTATCGACAAGTTATTGATATCCATTAAGCCTACATATGTAGTACATTCCTACTTCAGCCGCAGAGCTGAGATGCCTTCAGGGACCTTCAAAAAACTTGTAAAAGTCCTCAATCCCATAATTTTGTTGTCTTGTCATTATTTATTTCCCCATTCTCGAAGACAAGCGATATCACCGGCCTCCCTAACAGACACAACGCAAACCGGGTTTTTCGGTGGCACAGAATTCGAGGGCCGGAGCCGGGCTTTCTTCTCCAGATAGCTAACCCAACCAGACTATACATCCTCGCCACCAGTACCCTGCAATTCCACCAACTCCTTCGACAGAATATATAATCCACAGCCGTCGTGATTGTCGTCATAACCCCCTTCCGTTTTTAGAATTCGTATAATGAGCAGTACAGAAGTCTACTGACTTAATCTTATTCCGGTGGTCATGAAACTTGACTCAGTGTATCTCCTACATCTGCTAAGCTCCCACTCACTAGATCCAGTGATATCCCATCTGGAACGACCGTACACGGAAAGTTCGCCATTTCCGAGGGTAACCTTTCTCAGTAATTCGGCGTGGGAGTTTTTCGGCATCGCGGGTGTCCGTTGCAGGATGTCGGTAACGCGTGGCGTTGTTGTGTGACCGGAACAAATGGAGACCATATCTTTTCGCTTCTGGAAAGGACTTGAGCCATTTCTTCGCGGGTGTATTCCACGGGTTCTTGTAGGCTCATCGTGCTGCGTTGTATTTGTTTTGTCGGTGGGGTGTGGGAGAGGGATATTTGAGAAGTTTTCAATGGAGAGGGATCAAGTGTACCGGCATTAAATACCACCTTAGACTTGTGTCGTCCAGGAATTATGTGAAGGTCAGGCATATGTTTTCAATAAGCTTTATTCTCAAAACTTAGCCGGTAAATAGCAGTATAATACTATGGTTTTATATATAATTCTAGCGACTGAATGGTGATGACCATTTCTTTTTAAATTCAGGACTAACTCAACTATATCGATAACTAGTTACTACTGATTGTAATAGACATTTTGTCTAAGTTCTTTTTTTTTTTTTTTTTTTTTTTTTTTTTTTTTTTTTTTTTCGACATTTTGTACTTACCAGAATCTCAGATAACTATCTGGTTTCGTACAGCCAACCCTAAATCAACCAGAACATACATTCCAAAAGTACTTACTTGCTCCCCTTGGCATGAAGAAATAACCCAAAATCCAACGGCGGGATGAGTTCTTACAGGATGGGCTGCGCTTATAATTTTCAGTACGATAATGATCTTGATACTATATTATCCAATCCCCCATTCTGTATCCACGACGACTAGCCTGAGTACATTTTACCTCTAAATGATAGAAATTTTGTATCGAAAGAATATTAGCAATCAAATGAATGTTTTTTTTTTTAAAAAAAAAAAAAAGCATTTGCATAGAATTATGAATATTATGAACATTAATAACTCAATGGACTCATTACCAGACTATTCCCCCATATTAATACACAAATATAAATCCCACGCGTTAAACCATCATAGCAGCAAAAAGAGCACTAATACCCATACCAGCACCGAAAGCACCGCTCATTGAGTTCTTAGCGGCAGCCCCGGTGAACAAAGACGAGGGAGAGCTCATCGAGGCACTAGGGGTCATCGATCCAGAGGCCATCGGCATCCAGCCGGAGGGCATAGCCATGGAACCCGAGGCAGACGGCATCCATTCGGACATGGAAGCAGAGGGCGTAGGCATCGGCATCATCATGCTGCTGCTGCCCATGCCCATGTCACCGCTCTTCATCATGTCGGAGACCTATGAGACCTATACTGTCAGCAATCGTTTCTAGTAGATGCCAGTGGTTCTATGGCGGTACACACCTCAATAATAGCAGGACCAGCAACAATGTTGTCATCAGTAGCCTGCTTGTCTCCACGGGTCAAAACAACGTAGCTCTGTCCCATGACACCCTTAGGAACAGTAACCATGAACTTCCCATTACCCTTATCCTGGATAGACGCCCAGACAGGACCAGTAGCAGTAATAAAAGCAGCATGCACATCCTTAGCGTTCATTTTCTCAAAGCCCTCGCCGGCCATCAACTGCACCATGGAGCCGGTCATCGCCTTGCCGCCCGTCATCATGAGGGACGGGAAGGCTTTGACGGGCAACATCATGTTGCTGTCGGGGCACGAGGCAATAAATGGTGAAGCGACGGTGTACACTTCGTTGAAGTCGAGGGGGTTGTCGAAAGGCTGCGCGGCAGGGGCTTCGCCCTGGGCAGCGCGGAGGTAGGCGCTGTGGCGCGCTTCGACGGTGAGAATACTACCGGCTGCAGAAAGGTAGGTAGCGTTCATAATGTGGGCGGCTGCGCCGAGGTAGGCGCTGACACCGACGCCTGTATTCATCAGTATCTTCCATCATGCAATTGATGATTCAGGGGCAGACATACCCTCCAGCATGCTACCAACAGCGAGGAAGCTCTTAACATCGGTCGCCGGGAAAGAGTACGTGCATCTCTCGACCGGCTTGACACCAGCAGCAGACAAAGCCTTGGTCAAGAAGTCTTCGTGGGCCTTTTCATCCTCCGCAACCATCTTGATGTTGGTGAAGAAGGCAGAGTCCTTGAAACCAGCGGCCATGAAGTCCGATTGGGTGTAGTTCTTCAGACCCTGCTCGTAGAACGAAGCCTCCAGATGCTCGAGAGTCAAGGCGTACTGGAGGATGTCGGCTGGATTTTTTTTTATTAGCATGGTTAATGAAGCAGCTGGCAGAAGAAGACGTACCGTCGGTAATATCACCACGCCTGGCGACAGGGCCGGCCTGGACGAGACCGGCGGCGGCCAGGGAGATCAAAGCGCTGGAGAACTTCATGATGACTGAAATGGTCTTTGGTCTGCTTATCGGTTCGTGGCGATGATGCGTTGTGGGTGGAAGAGTCTAATTCGAGGGAGAACAGGGCCATTTATATAGCATTGCCGAGTCTTTTCATTCCAGCAGGACTTCTCCTCAACTGTATGCACTCCACATTGAGATAGTTCTAGCATCTACAAAGAATACTGAACTAGTAGTACTTGTATAGTTGAGCCCTGATACAGTAAACTCTCGACAGACGATCTTCATCTGCGGAGGATAAACCAGGGCACCATTGGCCCGATGCAGTATGCATCTCCACGGCAAATGCACAGCCGAACACGAAAACGAACGAAAACGAGAACGAGGGCACATAAGGCCGGAGCGAAAACGAGCGAAAACGACAACAATCAATTCATTTCCCTTCCTTGTTTTGTTGGATGCAATAGTTCGACTATTTGCCAAGTTTGCCACTTTTCTCCGCATTTTAATACAATATGCCTCCGCGGAGCGCCCATAAGAAGTCCCGGAATGGCTGTGATCAATGCAAGCGCAGACGTGTTAAGGTAGGCTAGTAGTGCTATCCTCGCTCCGTATCGGTTTTCCTTCCAGCGTATGTCGATCGATCGATCGTACTAATCTGGCCAGTGCGATGAGAAAGGTCCATCATGTGCCAACTGCATAGCTCGCGAACTGGACTGTACCTACGCCAATGCTCCTCGGCGGCCAGTCCCTTCAAGCGGATATCAGGATGATTCCCGGGAACATTCATTCGGCCTCGTGGATTTAGAATTAATGCACAAATTCTCCACGGAGACGTATGAAAGCCTTTGCAACGATCCCTCGGACCATTATGCATGGAAGATTGTTATCCCGCAAAAGGCTCTCGCCTATGACTTTTTATTGAATAGTGTGTTGGCAGTCGCTGCGTTGCATCGGGCCACCACCACCGTCGACAAAGACGATGCACCAGCTGCTGCGCTGGGATACATCGACACGGCGCTGCGGTATTACAACAAGGCCTTTGCGCCGTTCCAGCGGGCCCTGAATAGCCTGACACCGCTGAATTGCGAAGCAGTATTCGCCCACTCCATCATCATAACCGTCATCAGCATCGCTCTCCCGCAAAAACTCCAACTCACCACAATCGAGCGAAATGACACTGCTCGAGTTACTGCCCCAACAACCACCCCCAATAGCATGATAGAGAACATTGTCGTGGTCTTCGAGCTCCTGCAAGGCGTAAAAAGAATTTTAAGCATCGCCCAACCCTGGCTAAAAGCCAAGCTCTTCACCCGCCGCCATGACTTCCTCAACGACTGCATCGATCCAGAAAAAGAACTACTAGAGATTGACCAGAGCATCCCCGACACCAGATCTGCCTTTACAAAACTCACCACCCTAAACGAAACCCTAGCCAGCTTTGACCCTGATCAACACCGCGTCAACAATGAGGCTATTTCGCTCCTTCGTCGGTGTTTCTCGCGGTATGCCACATCGGGAGAGCCATCGGCTGTCTTGACATGGATCTCAGCTGTGGGGAAGGAGTTTGTGGAGTGCTTGCGATGTCGGAAGCCTTTTCCGTTGCTGATTCTGATGCATTGGGGGGTGTTGCTGGGACAATTGGATGGGCGGATGTGGTGGGCTAGGGATTCGGGGAGGGCGCTGGTTATGGAGTTGTTGGTTGTGCTACCACCGGGGACTTATCGGTGGGATGGGGCACAGTTATGGCCGAAAGAGAGGTTTGCTCTGTGACCAGGTCTGATTTAATGAGTATATTCACCCATTTGGATACCGCCGGAGTTTGTCGGTATGGATGGCCATGATGTCATTCGGGGTTTCTGGGCACCTATAGTGGCTAGGAAGTGCTTGGCTATTTAGTGAATAAAGCAAGTAACATATAATAATCTATAGCATAACTACTAGTATGTAGTCTGAAACCGGAAGCTCAACTTGTGTATACATGACGTATGGGGCAATACAACAATATACATCTATATCACATAGCAAACCAAACCCAATCTCAGCCAAAAAGACCAAAAAAATGCCCACAATCGCCCTCTTCGGCGCAAGCGGCCAACTAGGCACTGCAATCCTCAACGTCCTCCTCACCGACTCCTCCCTCGATATAATCCAGATCCTCGCCCCAGGCACAGCTTCCAAAGTCCCCGAAAATGAACACCCCAACCTCCGCACAAAGTCTATTGACCTAACATCTGCAAAACGTGAAGACCTCGCAAAGGACCTGTCGGGAGTAGATGCGGTGGTTAGCGCACTGAATGGCAAGGCATTAGAAGCGCAGAGCGTTATCCAGGATGCGGCGGCGGATGCGGGCGTTCGACGGTTCTATCCGAGTGAATATGGATCGCATCATGTTTATCGGAAGCCGGGGGATACGGGTGGGTACATCCATCCTGTAGGCCTTTTCCTTGTCCCTTAGAATAGAATGATGGTTAGGGCTAAACTGACGAAAAACAGATGTGGAACATGAAAGATCAATGTAACGAAGCAGCCCTGCACCACCCAGCTATCACAGCTGGCAAAATGACATACACCCTAATCGGCTGCGGGGACTTCTACAACCAACCCCGAGAAAAGACCTGGTGTCCGTGGACTCAAACATCCCCCGAGAACAACGAATACACAATCCACATTATCGGTTCCCCTGAAGCCACTGCAGACTTTACACATACAGAAGACTTTGCTGCTTTTCTCCTCGAAACTATCCGGCATCCGGAAGTCAGCGAAAACAAGCGGTTAAACTGCGTCAGCGATCATATAAGCCACGAAGACATTGCAAGATTATTAGAGAAATACTCCGGGAAGAAAGTGAAAAAGAGCGTGCTTCCGCTGGAGATTATGCATAAGGTAATGCGGGATCCCAGGGAAGCACCCAAGGAGCTCAGAGACGCGCCGAGTGCGTTTCCGGTTGACTTTTGGTTTTTGGTGAAGGGAATGCAGGGGGCGGGGCGGTTTTGGAGAGCGAAGGGGGAGGTACATAATGATTTGTTTCCGAGACTGAAGGTGAGGACTTTTGAGGGGTACTTTCAGGAATTGTTTGGATGACCGATAACTGTCCACTGGGGCGCTACCATGCTTCAAAACTGCTAAAATGTAACTAAATCCTTAACCTGAGCCTATGTACCGTCATTTCCAGCTCCCATAAGCACGCGAGCGTCTATCTGCGACAGGCAGTTGGTGAAGACATTGCAGATTTCCATGATCTTTGGAAGGATCTTCTGGTCCCAGTATGCGAAATATGTGCTAATTGCGTCGTCAAGCTCATCGATATAGAAATCTATATCAAAATACGCCCTGTTCAATTAGCAAGTGGCATGCACTAGAGAGAGTTTGAAGGGAAAACATCATATCGGCGAGTTACTGGTACTGTCATAGTATTTCTAACCAAACGATTCCCGGTTAGATGGTCCTTTTCCGATTTCGCACAACGATGGCGCCGATGATTCACTTGAATATTGGTTGGTCTCTGTCCGAGACCGAGCTCTTGAACCGTATTAATGGTGCCCGAGTCAGAAGTAGTTCTCAATTGTTCCCGTTTGCACCCTCCGCTTGGACACCAGGAGCATAGCAGGCCGAGACCAAGTAGGGAAAGGCCATATTCTGGGAGCGGATCAGAATCTGAAGAACAACCGCCCATACGCTTCGAGTAGAAATTATTGGGTGCATTCTTGGGATCGACTGGACTGCTTGATGGTCTTGAGTGGCAACAATGGCACATCGACTTGTCTGCAATCACCCAGGTCGGTCATTGGGGAATTAGTCAGGATGAGGGATTGGAGTATGTCCTTTAGATATTCAATCCAGTAAATATTGTTCACGGCCCCGAGCCTTCAAGCACTGTAGCTACGCAGTAATGGTACTTAGTGGGCAAGTCAGCCAGGGTCTGATCCGCATGGTACAGGGCATCCGACTTGGTTTCAAGCACGTCCTGGGCCCCTTTGTCTCTAATGGCATGATTAAGCTCTATCATGCCGAAGCTCTGTCTGACTCAGCCGAGGCTATTTATGAAATAAACAATAAAAAATTCAATTTATGTTATGTGACGATAAGCAGCTAATGGCTAACTGCCGATGCTTGCAAATATTGCCAACGAAGAAATAGGAGCAAAAGGCAAGCCTTAGCCCTTTGACACGTGGTCACACGATGAATGGATAGTTTTCCTTTCTTCTTCTTTTTCTCCAGATCCGATATTGTTGTCGATAGATACCTGGTTCAGATATGAATATCATTTGTTTTATCTACTATCTACCGAGCCTGTGACAGGAATAGCTAGTTAATCTTTCCTGCGCCTTCTAACGTACGTCTCAAGCTGGTCCAGTTGGCCTTTTAAGGGAATCTCTCGAGTATCGATTGTTATGCAAGAGATTCCATCCGCAACACACCAGGTTAGATTTTCGTTGAGACTTCGCTTTAGGAAATTCGGGTGTAGTGGTTCCATATACTGGTTCAGTATCTCCGACGTCAACTCTTGATTCTGAAGGGCTTCAACTGCCGCCCGTCGGACATGTCTGTCCTTGTCCTCAAATCGTGCCGCCACAGCCTTCACAATCTCTCCAGGCAGTGGTCCTTGGTTCTGAAGCGCCTCAATTGCCACACGTAGAATTTTGAGAAAATTTATGGCTAAGGGTTGGGAGGCACCATGTCTTAAATATAAAGTTGCCAGATCCAGGACACTCAATGAAATAACAGGTCGTGACTGGAGCGATTTAAAAAGTAATATTTTGTTCTTGTCAGACGCTTGTGCTAAGGCTCCTTTCACGGCCTTATCTGGAAACTCCCTTTTGCCTGCTAGCCAGGGTGGTTGTCCTCGAAACTTGCATTCAAACAATAGCCATAAAGATAGTTGACCCTCTAGCTCTGATTGGAATTGAGAGAAAGACTGACTTCCCTGTCGTGGCACCACTTCGTTCAAGCAATGCATGATCAGCCATTGATGCGTAGGTCCCAGAAGGTCGCGTGGCTCTTCCTCAATAGTCTGGAAGAAACAGAGTGTTTCCCTTTCTCCCTCAGCGTCAATCAATCCAGAAACAAGACTCCAGAAGATATCATAGCGTGCATGGCATTTATGTTTCTGAAGGAATTTAACAGGCTTGGTCTTCTTCATTTCCTTGTCATGTCTAAGTTCAAGATATTTGAGAGGTTGCCTTGCCTTCCACTGACGTACAAAATACCGTGCTGCAAAATACTCTTGAAATGTCAAATGCAAATGGTAACTCCGATTGGTGCTCTTTTGTGAAGGGTCTGACGTCCGTAGAAAGGAGAGGCGTGGAAGAGTCTTGTCAAGCAATATAGTCACACCAGGGACACCAGGGACACCAGGGACACCAGGGAGTTGGAACTGCTCTGATATAGCATTCCGGCTCTCCGAATCAAAGTATATAATGTCTTTATGCAGTCCTGTAATTGCAAGGCCTTCAAGAAGATAGATCTCTATGACAATTTGATCCATCTTTGCACTTTCAACATCAGATGACATCACCCGTTTCCCGTCAATTTGTTTTTCCAGTCTCGCGACATCCATTTTCCATAAGTTTCCCTCAATTTCTTTGTAAATAACAGTCATGGTCTGTGGCATAGACCTGCCGCTGAAGCTCTCCCAGGTGTAGCAGAGTGCATCCAACTGGATTGGTATCTGTACGAGACCCTGGATTAGTGAATGGTCTCTGAGAAATAACTGAACATAATTGACTTTCATATAATCATCAGCGAAAGCATGGGGCTCTGATGCCCATCCAGCCGTATGGCTGCTGTTCGGCTACGGGTAAAGCTTGCCACCCAATGGAGCACTGTGGGGGGCCATCCTTGGTCCCTGAGGCATTGTATCAGCCTGCCAGGTAGGACTGCATTAAACGCGCTTTCTCCTGACTGGAAGTTGGATTCATTCAAGACTCCTGAGCATGTAAGGTAGACTGTTGAACACCATAAACACAAGCTGCCACACTAACAGTTGGAATTTTTTTTTTTTTGTTTGAGATTTTTAATAGCCAATTGAATTCTTTTTCTGTATCCATTTTTGATGCAGGGCATCTGAGCGTGGAGTTATGGGATGAAATGGAGGGGCGATCGATTTCGAATGGGCTTATGCAGAGGTGGGTTATATGCAGAGGTGGGTTATATGCATAGGTGGGTGAGACCCACGTAAGGTAATGAGATTTAAGTGAATAGGCTGGCACCGTGACAATTTTGATATTTTTATTAATAGTGTCAAATCATCATTCCAGGTAAATCATGAGCTGTGATAATTAAATACAACAACTATATTTCCTCACATAATATCATCCCAACTTTCAGCCCCTTATGCTTTTTCAATAAGTTCTTGGGTCTCAATAGGATCAAACGAAGCAGTATCTACCTCCTCACCATCCTTATAGAGAACCGTCAAGGGCATCTCATCTGGGCTATGCTGAGGATGAATAAATCCACTGTCCACAATGACGAACTCAACATTCCCTCCACGGTCTTCATCCGCCTCCCAAAAAATGGGAGTTAATGACGACTCTTCTCCCATCCAGGGAGCCCAGTAATGCACAACGACTGGCTTTGGGCTGTTCATAATGGCCTCGAAAACTTCGCCGGGGCTAGAAGAAGAAATAGGAGTTAGTCATATAAGCAGGGACTCAAGATGAGAAGCAGGCGTACTCTTGGAGGACTTGGACTGGCATTTTGAGAATATTAGGCCTGGGACTTGGTATTGAATTGAATTGAGTCTTCTGGTTTGTGACGATGTGAGAAAGATGGTAAATGATGGAGTGGGAGAGAGGGGTATCAAGCTTAATTTAAAGACGGATCTGGGCAGCTCAGCTGAGATTTTCAGCTGCTATTTTAACCAGACACGAAGTGGATGTTGTGTTAGCGGTGCAGACCAGGAGCTGAGAACATGGCTGGTTCATTTACAATAGATGTGGGAAGCGTAGTTGTCTCTAATTTGATCAAAATCAATACTTTACGGGGCACGCTAACTCACCAAATAGTGGGCCTTGCATTTTTTTTGTGATCTGATATGCTAGTATAATCCAGCTCTTTTCAGCTGAGCGAAAAAGTGGATTGATCTTCTTTCATACGTCATCAGCAAAATTGGCTGATGGCAGGGTAGTTCAGCTGAATACTATCTAGCTTCTAGATAGATAAAAAGGAAATAACTCACTCGTAAAACATTTTCAAAGGTTTATTTTAGATATAGAGATTATAATAGTAATATGTATAGTGTCACGGAGTACGGGCATTCACCAATAACACAAGATGTTTGTATACTTTGGCCTGTTTGAATACAGGGCAGGAACCCCCTTCGCACACTAGATAGCGCAGCGCTGGCAGGCCCAGCTTCTTTCTTTCCTTCTCCATGTTAGTATTTTGATAGAGAGCCTACCAATAAATTTATATTGTTCGAGACTGTCACATATAGAATAATAAGAAATTGTCGCGGATATTCTCCTTAAGTATCCTAGGCAGTGACTGAAGAGGTACCAAGGCGCCTAATAACTTAGAAAGATCAAGTAACCACCATCATGGCTCTGCTGTTGTATCTTTTCTTCTTTTTTTTTTTTT